CAGACACTTTAACACTTTAACTCATTAATTCTCCCTTTTGAATTAAATACAAATATCTTCTTTAATTATACTGAAACTCTATACTTTCCACGAAGACATGCTGTTCTAACAGGTGTTGCCTTAATACCTGTTGTAAAATTCTATGTTTATTTAGAGACGGAAGAACCATAATTCCCAGCATTCAATCAAGCTCCGGGCGTTTAAAGTTAAATCTAGCAGATACTTCTTAAGCACCTATTATCTGCCATACACTTTTCGAGGTATTGAGGATGCCATGATGAACAACACGACTCAAAAACTCCCACTCTCATGAAGCTCACATTCTACTAACGGGAAGTAAATGATAAAATGAGTGAAATGCACATATATGTCCAATGGTGATACACCTCGATGCAGAGAACAAAGCAGGATAAAGGAAATGGAACGTCAAGGAAAAGAAGTTTCATTTTTGCACAGAGTTGGGATGGCTGCCTCACTGGTGTGACATTTGTGCACAGACCTAAAGTAAGGAAAGAAGCTAGACAGGTGGACATGTGGAGATGGAGGGAAAGGTCCTGAGGTGGGAAGACGTCTGGTTTACTTGAGAAGGAGCAAAGAGGATCCTTAAAAATAGTTAACAGACATTAATGGGATAGCATTACCCCCCACAGCCAACTTTAAATTTATTTGCCAGCTACCAGCCAACCCCCAGAAGTCTCTAACTTCTAAGTGAATAGAGACACATCTTAATTATTCCCACCATACACACACACACACACACACAAAGGTAACATGTGACATGCTAGAGGTGCTAACTATAGCTACAATGGCAATTGAATTACAATAAAAATGTATTAAATCAATACATTGTACACCTTCAATTTACATGTTACATGGAAAATATATTTCAGTAAATTAATTAAAAATAATTTAATAGAATTTCATAGAATTATAATTGCATAGAATGTTGCAACAACTTGAAAAAGAACACAGAAGACCATGATGACAGTTTTGCTCCTATTACTTTAATCTTAGAACTCAAACTTAATTAGAAGGTAAGCCAATTCTCTTCTATTCTAGGATCAAAGAATTCTACTATAATCTGCATTGTTTCCACTGTTACCACACAACCTTCACATAAACACATGCAAGTCTACTTGCTTCTACTTTGATCCAGTAATATATTGTTTTTCAGTGGCAGGATGTGTGTAAAGCACAATTTAGTAAGTATAAAGTCAGTTATCAAGAGCTTCTGCTGCTTTCTGGCCATCAACTAGATTGAAAACAATGATATTTGCCATAGTCACTTCCTTTTTCTGCCACAAGCATCTTTGTTAAATTAGCAGAGTGTACGATGATTTCCTACCATCCATCTTTGATTACCCCAGATTCAACAATAATTCCCTTTACTATGCAAAAGGATTCAAACTGATGTTCAAAAGTGGTCCTAAGAGTTCTTGTCCACATGTGCTCTATTTACTCAAAACACTTTCATAGGCAATTATATTTGATAGATGACCAAATGTGAATTTCTTTAGGGAAGCTGATGCCAGATAGTGTTAGTCACTCAGTCATGTCCAGCTCTTTTGCGACCCCATGGACTGTAGCCCACCAGGCTCCTCTGTCCATGGAGTTCTCCAGGCAAGAATCCTAGAGTAGGTTGCCATTCCCTTCTCCAGGGGATCTTCCTAACAAAAACGTAACTGGAAATAAAAGTCAGTCAGTCAAAATAAATGAGAGTTTTAGAAATCCTTGTAATTCTTTAAAGGTAGTATTTTGACTCACCACCTAAGCCAGTTTTAATCTAACCAAGATACTGGGAAGCAGAGCACACAGTGGTGTCCATCAAACCAATAAGGGTGCTGGAGTAGGTCTCCTTGATCCTGCTTGTAAGGTTCTCCTGTGTAATAGCCATGGGCATAAAGAAGTCATCCAACAACCCATGCAGAGCCCAAGCCAGAAACTATATGCAAGAAGGTCCGTCTAGTCAAGGCTATGGTTTTTCCAGTAGTCATGTATGGACGTGAGAGTTGGACTATAAAGAAAGCGGAGCACCAAAGAATTGATGCTTTTGAACTGTGGTGTTGGAGAAGACTCTTGAGAGTCCCTTGGACTGCAAGGAGATCCAACCAGTCCATCCTAAAGGAGATCAGTCCTGGGTGTTCATTGGAAGGACTGATGTTGCAGTTGAAACTCCAATACTTTGGCCACATGATGTGAAGAGCTGACTCTTTTGAAAAGACCCTGATGCTGGGAAAGATTGAGGGCAGGAGGAGAAGGGGATGACAGAGGATGAGATGGTTGGATGGCATCACGGACTCAATGGACATGAGTTTGAGTAAACTCTGAGAGTTGGTGATGGACAGGGAGGCCTGGTGTGCTGCAGTCCATGGGGTTGCAAAGAGTTGGACACGACTGAGCGACTGAACTGAACTGAAGCACTTCCAACGACTTAAAAAATAAGGGTGGGATACACTTCCTACTAGATAACTAGTTTATTACAAAAGGTATGGCCCCAGATGGAAGAGATGCACAGGATAAGGTATGTGGTGAGGGGCATGGAGCTTCCAAGCCCTCTCAGGGCACACCAGTCCCCTAGCCCCTGCGAGGTCTTGCACATGTTCCCCAACCCAGGAACTCCGAAAACGGATTTCTTGCCTTTTTTCCAAACTTCATGAGAGCTTCTTAGCTCCCTAGTTGTCTAGAGCAATCACTATAATCTTCGGAGCGCCATTTATCACTGTTCTCTCAAAATTAGAGACAAACCCAAAATTTTGTCCCAAAATAGGGACAAACCCATAGAAACAGGATGAAGTGGGATACATAGGTCTACCTCTCTGCCAAACATTTCTTAAAATAATTACGTCTGCCCTTGAGAGTCTGTAATATCATCAAATGAGGAAAAGGGAAAGGTGAGTACAAAATGAGCTGAGAGGACTTCCCGGGTGGTACAGTAGATAAGGATCCACTTGCCAATGCAGGGGACACGGGTTTGATCCCTGATCTTGGGAGATTCCACATGCCACGGGGCAGCTAAGCCCGCACACCGCAACTCCTGAAGCCCATGCGCCTAGAGCCTGGGCTCTGTCACAAGAGAATCCGCTGCAATCAGAAGCCATGCACTGCGACAAAAAGTAGCTTCCACTCAGTGGAACTAGAGAAAGCCCATGTGCAGCAATGAAGACCCAGCACAACTAAACATTTTAAAAATGGGCTTAGAAATTTTCATAATTTCCAAATTTGGAGATTCCTTTCAAAGAAAGAAGAGCTGTTAAAAGGGTATATGTTATCATGGGAAAAAATGGAAAATAGGATAAGAAGGACTTCATGGAGGGTGGACCCAGAAATACAAGAAGCCAAAACATTTTATGACGTTTGTCATTATTTTACTAATATAAGAAAATCTGAATATAAAGCAATGAGATTGGGGTAGCAAGTTACACATGACAGTCATTCTGGTGGTCACCAAATAGAGCTGATGTTGCTAAAAATTATGAAAATGAATGAATCATTCAAGGAATAGCTAGAACCGTATCTACTTGAAATAGCTCATAGCATTTTGAGGGAGAAAGAAACAGACATATTCATAATCAAATGTATTCTGTGTATGAACAGATCTTTACTGATACTTAAGCTAGTGGTACAGCCGAAAGAGAACAAGGTACAGCATTAAGAAAACCCTGAAAACAGTATTTTACCGGAGGAAAAAAACATGCAGTAAAGGCTTGTCATTTAAAAAGGATCGAAATGTAACATGGCATAAGATTAGTGGTGTTTTTCTCATTCCATTTTGTAAGTGAAATATTAAAGGTTAACTGAAGCTCATCTTTGACCTCTCACTCTGTAATCCTATGAAGAAAACTATTGTTTAAAACATATTTCTTAGAAAGGAAAAAGACAAAAAGATACATATGTTGGGTTGGATTCCTATTTTTTGTTCTCTTAGTGTAAAATCCCCTTTATTGTTAGTAGTATGTGTGCATTTCTTCAGGTTGTATATTTAGAGACCTGGAAATGAATAAAGTTTTTAAACTAACAAGTTCTTCTGTACACTGTGCTTTATCTCAGTATTGACACATTTCAATGTGTTTTGCTATGAAGACACAATGTAACTACTGAAAATACAAAAATAAAGTTAAAAGTAAGAAAACAATCATATAATTCAAACAGTTTTTCAAAATAAGCTTGTCGTGATGCTGAAGCTGAAGCTCCAATACTTTGGTCACCTGATGCGAAGAAGTGACTCTTTGGAAAAGACCCTGATGCTAGGAAAGATTGAGGGCAGAAGGAGAAGGGGAGACAGAGGATGAGATGGTTGGATGGCATCACCGACTCAACATACGTGTTTGAGTAAGCTCCGGGAGGTGGTGATGGACAGGGAGGCCTGGCGTGCTGCAGTCCATGCGGTCACAAAGAGTCGGATGTGACTGAGTGACTGAACTGAACTGGACTGTGCAGAGATGTCATGCTAGCCTCAGAATATTCTTTTCTTCACTGCATTATCAGATTAACATGGATCTGCCTCACTTACACACTTCCTTCACTAACACTTGAACTTCTGGGACATTTGTGAACTCCTAGGAGATTATCAAGATTTTCTACCTTGCAGGGAGCTGGATGAAACAACACATTTTACAGTTACAATAAGCTTTGTGAAAAGCAATATTATCTCCGATTACTTTGCACACTATGAATATGCTCTTTGCTCCTTTTAAGCATTGTACATCAAAGGAGATTCCTCTTTCTCAACTCCTGTAATGTTCATGCACAATGTCCTCAACATCGGGAGGAAATTTCTGGATATCAAATTCAAGTAGCCTGTCCATCAACTGGTCAAAACCGCCACCTACTGGTCAGTCTTTAAAATCTATTTTTCAGTTCAACCAAGCCTTGCTTTCCCATGGTAAGATCCCTTGCTTCGAAACAGTAAAGATCAGTTATGATACCAGACTTAGACTAAATTTTCTTTTTTAAAAACTTACCCTCTCTAGGGTGAACCAAAAATACCAAATTGCACAAACCTGCCAATAAAGTCGTCCCTTTTCCCAGCGTCTTTGTCCCAGGCAGTGATATCAATGATCCCGCCTCTTTCTTCATAGAGATGAAAATCAAATTGTTCCCTCCACTGAGGATTCAATGTTTTTGGCATAATCTGCAAAAACAAAAATTTCATTATTATCTCATCAACATCAGTCTTAAATGATGCAACCTGAGACATAACTCAAACTTCAGGTACTTCCCAGAAAAGCATGTGAGATTTGAATGAGATCTTCCAGAAATGATGGAAGTCATTAGATGTCAGCATTTTTACTGTATATGGTCTGAAAGACCCCAAAAGGACATGTCCTAAAGACCAAGAGACACCTTCTCCTCACTGTGAACAACAGATGAGGGATATGAATTATAGAAAGGGCAAACAGTCTCTAAGTGAAGTAGCTCACTCAGATAATAGCACCTGTTTTACATAACCAGTTAATGCATGAAGATATAACTCAAAGTCTGTGATCTTATAGTAAAGGGAGATGAGGATTTCTAGAGTTCCTTTTATCCCCCCTTACTTCCCTCTCACATAGAATTCGAACTGAATAGTGAAGAAAACAGACAATGAACTTCTGCAGGAGGGGGAAAAAGTAAGTTTTCGGTGGCCAGGCAAACTTTTACATTAGAATGACAGCACTGATGTATCATCCCCATTTTATACATGGAGAAACCAAATCCTGAAGTTTAAGTGAGGGCACAGTCATTAAGTTTTAATAGCTAGACTATAACTCAAGTCTTTGATTAGAGTTTCAGAACTCTTTCCCAAAAGCACTATGCCAAAAATGCTTGTGAATTAATATGAGTGCTCTTGTGTATGTGTGTGTATAATCTCCATGTCGTATTTACAAGAAGGATATCTAATGTGCAATTTTGTACCTTCAAGTATTTAGATAGACACCTAGGAATCAATGAATAAAGTGACCCATACTGATGTGTTTTAAAATTTCACTCACCATTGGGCTGGATAATATTCATTCATATTTGTTTCTCTATTCTTTCTTTTTAGCAGGAGGGCCTGTAGTGGCCTTTTCTCTTTTTAATGTATGAGAGACAGATCCTCAGATGTAAAGACTTGGAAAGCAATGAAGTATGTTATGTGCAGAGGTAATGCAAATGAATCACAATTTTTAAAGTTCATAATCTGAAATTAATCTGCAATACATCATGGAAAGAAAGAGCAGAGAGAGACACATGTCCATAGCTGGGTTTCATATTTCAAATCTAAAGAGCATAACTATAAAAATAAGTCATGTTTTAAGCCTATAAGAACACGGAAATAATGTTAATTGATAAAGGACAAGATGGAAGTGGTCATAGGTACCTATTTTGGGGAATCAGTACTTTCTTTAAAGTGTTATGATTAAGCCCAATGCAGAAAAAAAAAAGATGACACTGGATGGATACTATGATAATTCAAATGTTTCATAACTGGGTTCAGATGAACTCCTGCAGTTTTGGGGGGAGTGGACCATTTTACTTGTTTGGCCCCAAAAAAGCCTAGGCTTTCAGATTTGTTAGGATTGTCGTCTCCATATGATTTCCTATAGGTCAGAGGTGATGTCTTCCCCTTCAGTGTGGACATTCAACAAGGTGACCCATCAGCCTGCTAACAAATCACTCTGTGGTATTTCTAACTACCTACGTTACTGATGAGAAGTCCCTGGGCCAAAAGGAGCCTGGGCAGGCTGTTGATAGAAAGTTCACAAAAATTGTGATGTGAAGGTGAAGATAGTCCCAAAGGAGAATGTGATTTATGTAAGATGGATGTAATCAATTATCCCAAGCTAACAATGCATACTAGCTGGAGAAGCTGATCATTCAAGGGGTTGTGTTTAGATATAACCCAGATAAATATAACTGTCACATATAGACTACTATGACCTTTACTTATTACTACTGCTGTTAATAATATGATTATTTAATATGTTACTACTAATAGTATGTGTTATTACACAATGTGTTTGCTCTTCCCCTTCCTTCAGCTATGACAGTTAGTTATTTATTTGGGCAAAGCAATGTTTTAAACCCTTTACATACTTGACATATAGTATTCCATCTTTGCAATAACTTTATTAGATAGGCATTATTTTCATTCTCATCCTCACAGATGAGGAAATGGAAGTCTGGAGAGGCAAAGTAACTTTGCTGTGGTGGCAGCAGAAACTTGGCCCTTTGATTTCTGAATAAACTTTTAAAACCTTGCCATCTTCACCAGTGTAAGTCAGTTTGAATAAAATGGTCCAGAGTCCTGCATGAAGATTTTTACTGCACGTCAAATAAAGCTATTCGTAGTTTGTGTACTAGTATCAGGTATGGCCAACACTCTCTGAGCATTTTATGCTCCAGGCATTGACTTGGGCTTGCTTCAGCCATTTTTATTTTTATTTTTTTCAAGAGATAGTTTCTACTATTATTCTGTGTAATAGATGAAGAAATTGAGACATAGAGAAATAGTTTACCAAACGTCACATAGCACAAAAAGAAATGCAATACAATTGTTGATCCTGTTACCTGACATAACTGTTCAAAAGCAGTTCTGTAAAGCATTACAAAGTGTCCAGTGTTTTCATGTCTCAAAGAGTGTGGCTATTAACCAACCACTGCCTTCCAAGCACTGACGGGAACACAAAAGAGATAGGTCACCTTGCTCTTGTACTTTTGATGCCCAAGTCGGAACTTCACATAGGGGTCACTCAATCCATTTGAATCCATCGCCTTAAGGTCTCGCCCTTCAATCAATGTGATGCTGACGATTCCTCTCCAAAGGTGTGACTTTCTGTGTACATCTGACAGGCGTAAACTTTGAGTCTGAAACTTGTGGCGAAGGAAAACAGAATTAGCTTATTGTGCTTTAAACCAAAACACCACATTTGACATGACCCTTTCCTATAGTTTTTCAAAAATAAAAAAATAGGCAGTTGCAGGTTTTTGAAATTAAAAATAATTAATAGATTATTAATTATTTAACAAGTATATAATTAATAATGATGAAATGGTCATCTCATAAATTTAAGGTGGCTGTGTAAAAGAGGTGTGCGCTCAAAATAAAGTCTAGTTTTTCAACTCAAAATTACATGCAGATGCTTGAAGATTATTGAAGAATATTTTCACATGTGTTTAATGTGCTTGTGTTTAAATATATATAAATATATAAATATAAAAGGCCTCACCCACACTGTGATATATAATTTTAATTGGTAGCAGCTTTTTTCTGTCTCAGCTGCTTCAAAATTTTTATTATGAAAAATTGTAATAAACACAGCTAGCAATTGTCAGTAGTGATTTTTTAAAATCTATTTTTTCATCTTACAAATGGATTTTACAGGTGGTTTTTAGTTCTAAGATTAGTTTTAAGTTCTATTCAAACAATTTAAAAGCTTTTTTTTATTTCTACAGTATAAGGTAACTGAGTTTCAGCTCACTAAAAAGTTAAGGTATCATAGAGCAGAATAAACTCAATATTCCTCCTAAGATGTCTTGCTTATGTCTGAAACTTGTATTACAAAATTTTAAAATTACTTATGTGATTTATATTGGCAGGTATATGTTTCTGATTTATTTACTACTTTAGCATTTGAACATTTCTGTAATAATTTTGAATTGCTCAATTCTAAGTCACAATATTCACATCAGTGGACAAATTCAAAAAATTTAAAAATCAGCAAGTCTAAAAATGGCTACATAATCTCTTTGAACTAAACAGCATAGAAAACAAACCAGAAAAAGTAGCTAAAATATTAAAGACCTTTTCAATCTGGATTCAAAACCAGGAAGTATCATAAAAATTGCTATTTTTTTCATGTTGTCAAGCACATTTTCTTCACTTACAGTCATTTCATGAAGAAATTCAATGTTTTTCCCAACCTCAAAGTACTCTACTAAATTATGGATTATCTCTACTTTTGGCTCAATTCCATCTATATTAAAGTTATAGTTTATTTTGCATAATTTCCCTCCCACTCTGAATTTTTACTTTTTCCCTATGCCGTAGCATGCCATAGCCATTTTTATTTATCATCAGAAGTCATGCATTTTAGGATGCTTAATAGGAAAATGAAAACTACATTCTTCAAAAGATAATACTTTTAATTTTGAACATTTCCATGGAAATCTTTCTAAATCATATTGTATATTTCCTTATCCTGGTGACCAGTAAAGTCTGAACAACTCTGCTTGGTGGCTCTGCCTTATTAATATTAACATACATCCCTCACCTCCACGAGCCCAGGAACAATGTCACCTGTGTTCTGAAGAGAAACCGAGGTTACACGGAGCACCCGTAACTTCCACGGGACTCCATACCCCACTTCAGTGAAGTCCCTCTGTCCCCATCCAATTTATCCATTGGGTTTCCTCATCGATTTTGTTTGAACCAAGGATTTCTCAGATTAAAATAACTGTTCAGAATTCACGCCACCAAATAATCTTCAAGTTTTCTTTTATTCTAAGATTTCATGCTACTTATTTTATATAATGCAGCAATCAATTTCAGTGTCTGTCTATTTCTCTATCTCTCTATTTATGCTGCTACTGAGACCACAGCAGACTCCAGAGAATCAAGTTGTCAACTCAGGGAATGAAATTTTTGTTAAGGAGTATTAGTAGCAAAGAAAGAAACAAACTTTTGACAGGTAAGAAGAAACAATTATCTTAGCAAAGACCAAGCAGTTAAAAACTATTTATTTATATAGAGCTTTAGAATTTGAAAGTGCATATATATATACACATTATATAATACGGTTTCCACTAAGAGTCTATGAAGCAGAAAGGCAAGTACTATTTTCACTTTACTGAAGAGGGATTTGAGGCTCAGAGTGGTTGGCCTAATAAATGATGGATATGTGACTAGCGCCCTTTATTCCTGAGCGTCTTCCAATATTTGTCTTTAGGGCAGAGACTCTCCCCAAGATTTAAAAGTAATCATGATTTAAATATATTGTTACTAAATGGTGCTCTCCAGTAAAGGTGAGTTGATTACACTTGGAACAACATTCCGGTCTACACTTTCTACTTCTCTGCCATATGAGCACATGTATTCATACTTACAATGGTCCAGCTTGCAGATGGATATACTTAGGACATTTTCCACACACTCTAGTAGCACAAGTCATACGCTGCAATCGTCAAATAATAGCTGGGTACAATCCAGGTTACAAAGCAACTCTGGTTAGCAATGCTAAGTTAGGTTTTTAAATGGTACTATGTCTGAAACACTTGCTTGCATGTTCCTCCTCCCCATTTTTCACATGAGAACAAGAATCTTTTAAGATGAGAAGGAATGCTTTCCATAGAATTCATCATGCTTTCACAGAAACAGAATGAACTTCATGGAGGCTTTACCTAGTGCCACTAGTTATTAGCAAATGCGCTTCTACAACCTGGAGGAACATTCCCAAAATGACTTGAGAAGCTAAGGGGCAGAGGAGGGAGACAATTTCTTAACAAAAACAGGGCAATGAAAGTGCAAATTAAAGTGACCTGTGTAAAAAGTTAAAGTGGGGAGGTCTAAAGACATACTAACCTAATAAAGTGATTTTTTTCAATATGTATTTTATTAAATGGTTATTTTCTAAATAGAGACTTTGTAATTTAGCTGTGATTTGACTAACTGCATGGTCATAAAGGGGCTTCCCTCATAGCTCAGTCAGTAAAGAGTCTGCCTGCAATGCAGGAGACCTGGGTTCGATTCCCAGGTCAGGAAGATTTCCTGGAGCAGAAAATGGCAGCCCACTCCAGTATCCTTGCCTGGAGATTCCCATGGACAAAGGAGCCTGGCGGGTTACAGTCCATGGGGTTGCAAGAGTTGGGCATGACTAAGCAGCTATGTATACATAGTCATAAAACAGGTAAATATTTACCCTATATTTGAATAATATGAACTTGAAATAAAATTACAAGGTGAAGAGGGAAGATGTAAACTTAGGCTTTGCTGTTGTTCAGTCACTCCGTCATGTCTGACTCTTTGCGACCCCACAAAATGCAGCACACCGGGCTTCCCTGTTCCTTCACCATCTCCCGGAGCTTGCTCAAACTCATGTCCATTGAGTCAGTGATGCCATCCAACCATCTCATCCTCTGTCATCCCCTTCTCCTCTTGCTTTCAATCTTTCCCAGCAACAGGGTCTTTTTCAATGAGTCAGCTTTTTTCATCAGGTGGTTAAAGCATTGGAGCTTTAGCATTAGTCCTTCCAAAGAGTATTCAGTATTGATTTCCTTTAGGATTGACTGGTTGGATCTCCTTGCTGTCCAAGGGACTCTCAAGAGTCTTCTCAAACACCACTGTTCAAAAGCGTCAATTCTTTGGCACTCAGCCTTCTTTATGGTCCAGCTTTCACATGCATACATGACTACTGGAAAAATCATAGCTTTGACTATATAGAACTTTGTTGGCATGTATTAAAATGCCTCTGCTTTTTAATACACTGTCTAGGTTTGTCATCGCTTTTCTTTCAAGGAGCAAGTGTCTTTAAATTTCATGGCTGCAGTAACCATCTGTAGTGATTTTGGAGCTGAAGAAAATAATGTTTGTCAATGTTTCCATTATTTCTGCATCTATTTGCCATGAAGTGATGGGACTGGATGTCATGATCTCATTTTTTGAATGTTGAGCTTTAAGCCAGCTTTTTCACTCTCCTCTTTCACTTTCATCAAGAGGCTCTTTAGTTCCTCTTCACTTTCTGCCATAAGGGTGGTGTCATCTGTGTATCTGAGGTTATTGATATTTCTCCCGGCAATCTTGATTCCAGCTTGTGCTTCATCTAGCATGGCATTTCTCATGATGCACTCTGAATATAAGTGAAATAAGCAGGGTGACAATATACAGCCTTGACATACTCCTTTCCCAATACCAAACCAGTCCGTTGTTCTGTGTCTGATTCTAACTGTTGCTTCTTGAGCTGCATACAGGTTTCTCAGGAAGCAGGTCAGGTGATCTGGTATTCCCACCTCCTTAAGAATTTAAACTTGGGCTACTAGTAGGAAAAGAGACAAGGTCTGAGCACAAATGTCTGCTTGCGTCTTCCTAGCCATTTCTGACTATGTGACTTGGGCACGTTCCCCCCTCTCTGGACCTCAGGGTTCTCACTTATGGACCCTAGACTGTACACCAGGCCCCGATGGACTAAGAGCTCCACTCTCTCAGTGTCTGACGGGGTGGCCAGGGGGCTGTGTTGGGGGCCTGAATGCTAAAAAGTGCATTCCATAAACAAAGACTTTACCCACTCAAGATAGTTGTTACTTTTGTTGACTTGTTACATCAAAGTTTCAGGGGAACTTTGTTCACTGGGGAACAAGTGGAAAGCTACAACTAAAACAAGCAAGTTTTAAAAAGCAGTAGCTTTAATACTCCCTGTGATAGCTTCTGAATCGTTTGCTTCTCTCTTTTAAGCTTCCTTCTTCCGTACAGCAAAGTTCTCCAAGTGTGGTCCACAGATCAATGGCATCAGTGTCACCCAGGAACTTGTTAGAAACTCAGATTCTTTAGTCCCATCCCAGAACAATGGGACCATCAGCTCTGGGGGTGGGGCCCACTGCTCTGGTTTAACCAGCCATCACTGGAGGGGGTTCTGATGCACACTCAAGTGTGAGAACAGCCCTGTCCCATTTTAAAAGTTCTAAGGTACATGTGCACTGGGATTCTCCTATGTTCTAACAACTACTATTAATTACTATAATTGCAGACATCCATTCTCTGACATGGATGCTATATATGCTAATTAAAGTCCTTCTTTAGTCCTGCTTCTAAATTTACCAATTAGGAAAGCACCTGGGTCTGGATATTTGGAGCATTTAAAGAGAAAAGTAGGAAGCCACTGAAAAATTATGTGGTTCATTTATTATTTCCTTTGCTAATGATTTTTCTAATAGGATATATCTAAATAATACATATTAACTGAGTGACTGATAACCAGTCAACCAAAAATTACTCATTGAGTACCTAAGGGACAAGGAAGGTTAAATACATCTAAGAAACCTCTCAGTAAAATCAACATATTACAGTGCGTACTTAGTCATCTAAAATAATGTTTTCAACTACATCCTTATTGAAATATGACTCTATTAGAGGAGGGGAAGCAGAAGGGGAGGAAGAATAAAAAGGAAAATCAACCCAGCTTCAAAGCAAAGAACCAATTCTGTAAAAGGAAGAAGCACTTTTTGAATCTTGAAAGCAGTAATTCCCAAGTTTTTGTGGGCAGTTTGCTGAAATCACCAGGCCTGATCCTCCTGGATGGGATTCAGTTGTTTTGGGCAGCGCTTCATGTGATTCTCCTGTGCAGTGAAGTTGCACATTCTTTAAGGAATATCCATCCAGGTTCATATTTAATAAAAAATATCAAGATACCAGGTGACAATGTAAATTTCAAAATCGGAAGTAATTAGTCAATGACATGTAAGCAAGATTTTAGAATTAGTAAGCTGGCATTTAAACAGAATATTAGTTTATGTACATTATGCCTTGAAAATGAATTCAAGATTTCAATCCCTTTTCATACACATAAAAGATGTTAGGATAGGGGACGGTTTTCAGAAGAGTAAGTCAGCCATGAGAGTTCACAGCTCATGCAAGCTCTGAAGAAAAAAAAAAAACAACCAACTGGTTGAACTTACTTGTGCATTTTGGTAATGAGCACTCTGAAGCTCTGCTCTCCAGAAGGCCAGGACAGGAAGAGCAGGCCTGCCGCATGTCTGGATGGAAATGAACGATCAGAGCCATAGGGGATATCTTTGGGCAACTCTCAACACTCACGTCAATCAGAGTTTAGCATCACTCCAGCAAAAAATTATTGGAAAGAAATATGTATTTGCATCTCAAGTCACTGTCAGGAAATGTCTCCTAGCACAATGAAGACAAATGCCAGGGCAACAGTACTTTCCAGCCACCATTTTCTTTAGTAACATAACACTGTAATTGTCAAGCAAATAAAGGACAGATTATAGATAGATCTGCTTGAGTGGTTTCAGGGTTTTGTTAACAGGTATAGCAGAGAAAAGAAATCGAGCGGGAGAAGTCATAGAAAAAATAATTTCCCCAAGTCTGTTGCCCTCAAAGTTTTGGAGGCTGTTTCCAATGCCAAAATGGTGATAAAGTTCCAGGAGAATAAATGTTGCATGGACAGGCAATAACTATGATCACAGTACCTGCATCCCATATGTGAATCTCTTTTAACATTTAAAGAGACATTTCTAAAGTAACAGAAATTTTGCCCCCGTAACACTTATCTTTGTTGTCTTTGCTGCTAAAAAAACAAACCCGAAGTTCCCTTCACTACCAAGACCAAGACCAACAAGAGGTAGATAAAAAAGATAAAGCTGAACAAGAACAAATGGAAAGAAATTATCATGGCGGAGCTAAAGGTTTCTATTATATGAATTCTACAGCAGCTGGAAAGTATTATGATGAGAGTCATCAGCTTTACTAATATCAACAAGGAAGACTGAATTAGGTTAGTTCACACAAAGAAATCAGATGTATTGAGCAGCTATTAAGTGCTGGAGTTTTCACAATCTAATGTTTTTCATGACAAGCATTTTTAAGATACAGAAACTGAGGTACAGAGAAGATAAATATCCTACATAATGCCAAATGACTAAAGATTGGCAAAGCAGCGATTTTAATTTGGAATTGCTGATAATTAATTTTTTATTTTTCCTACTACAGCTCAATTTTTGGACAGAGTCTAATACGTTCAACTCAAAAATGTGTTTAATTTTTACAGGATTTGTTGAAACACTTTGACTTATATTTAGATGAAATACATCCTTGGGTATAGGTTATTAAGAAGGGCTAATCAAGGGCTTAAAGAAACAAAAAAAATTTCAAGAGGTGATAACTCTAGCATATGTTGTTAAGCAAAAGCAGTTGAGAGTTAGCCGCACTCCATCACAAATTATAGTCTCATTAAAAAGGTGGTGAAGTTGTAGAGTTTTGTATATAAATTAAGAATATCTCTAAATTCCAATTTTCATGACTAAATTTGACTAATTCTGTTCCTTAAAACATTGGATCACTAATAATAAATTCCTATTATTCTAGATCCTGATTAAATCAGAGAACCAAACCAAAAAAGTCTATTTAGACTTAACATGTGGCTAAAGAGACACTCAGTCGTACCAATCTTCTCCCTGTTGTGTGCAAATAATCCTTGGCTTTTGTTATCCTGGATTTTTTTTAAACCTGTGTGAAATCTAATCCTTCTAAATGAGACCCAGATACTATGAAACTGGAGTGAAAGACATAGCCTGTGTCTTTACAATGGTTGCGTGTGCAGACAGCCCTTGCCTCTATTTTCAGCACAGAGGTGCACATGCCTTTATTTAATCAAATGATCCACAAGACACTACAAAGAAGAGATAATGACAGCCTGGAATGACTGTTTTGTGCTGCAAAGCTTGGAGCGTGGAGCAATTATGAGCTCACCCCAGGCACAGGCATTTTCTATCTTTCCCTTTTCCTGCTGAGTTTATTCCAGTGAATTGCACCTGGATGATGAAGTCCAACAAGTAGATTTGTTCTACGGTCCATGCACCCTCTCAAAGGAGGATTGCCTTTACAGGAAACCTTCCAGCGCTTTGTCCAGTCTGGTCTGAAGTGTCTCATCTAATAATAAAGCTTCGATCCCTTTTTTTCTTAGAAGATGATTCACCGGTGCTATAATCCTTAGAGAGATTCTTCAGGTTTTTATCTGCAAACTTTCTTTCCTATGTCTATTGCTTCTTGATTCAATTTATGTTGTCAGGAAGGTATTTCTGTTTACTTCAGATGTTTTAACTACCCTTTCTAAACTTAACTGTGGCCAAAAAAAAAAAAGATCTTAAGCTTTTACTGTATTTGCTCAAAATATATACAAATAGAAAAGCATCATGTAAGTTGTAACCTTGTAGGTTTGCTAAAGTAATCTGTAAATATCCATCAGTGGTATGGGAAAGAAATAATGAGTCTTGTATTTGATTTAGAGAGACATTTTTTTGAGGTTTTTAACTAAAAGTTCATTTTTTTCCTAAGGGCTTTATTATCATACCTATTGATAGAATTAATACTTGAACTTTTCCTGGGTATGCCATATATTGAGTTGTTCAGGATGTAAGCACTTTTGCACAGGATTACATTCCTGTTTTACAAAGCAAATACCTCAGTACCTCTTCTCCTTGGTCTGCAGGGTCTTCCTTCAACCAAACTTTTGTTTGACCCTACCATAAAGTAGCACTCTAACTCTGAATTGTTCTGTATTCTGCACTTTTTTTTACTCATTTCATATTATGATCCATTTCTCCATTTTTTATATGAGGCATCTTGGCATAGCCCAGCCTTCTCCATTTAAACAATATTAAAATCTCTCTTTAATTCACTGTAATGCTCTCATAAGAAGGATTGTTCAATTAGCTCTCAGTCATCAGAATCTAAATGTCTAATCAGCGGAAATAACTGGGAAGAAACTTAAATGTACTAAATATTTGAAAGAACTGCACTGAATTACCATCCTTTAATGGGAAGTTAAATGTCTTTAATGAAATCCTGACTTAGAGCAATCCAATTGGTTTCACATATTTTTATTCCTTTCATGAGAAACTTGGTAATTGCCATACCCATTGCTTAATGTTTTGTGTGCTCAGATACCATGTTTTGATAAATTATAAATGACATGATTTTGGAAAAATTAGAATATCCCCGTATCACTTCACTTTTTTCTCTCCATTATTCTGCTCTCAAGGAAATTAAGATACAGCAAGTAGCTATGACATTGTTGAGCCAGTTCTCCCCAGGATTCAGGTTCACTCAGTATAATTCAGGTACCATCTCCTGGACAAAGTATTAATCCTTATATAATAAATAAGCTGATAATTTTTTTCATATCACTTTCTTTTTAACTCTCAAAGCACATGTACACTCTTCATATATGATTTTATCTGAGCTGTTTAGGATTCCTGCATGTCTGAAGATATTATGGGAAACCTCTTTTTATACAGATCCTTTCCAAAAGTTCATCAGAATACAAACATTGCTTGCACAAAGAGCAATGAGGTCAGTTATAAGAGCGACCTTTGAATGAGAATATGAAAGATCACACTCATTCAAAGCAGACTTGGTCACTGACTTTGTGAAATGGAACCTCAAACACAGCAACATCATAGCCCTCAAACATATCCATCCCTTCATGGATCAGATCACAGAAGAAGGGTCACATAACGCAAGAAGGATTTGAAAGGCTGTGAATGGAGATTAACTAGGGGGCAGCTCTATCTATATGCTGAATCTCTATTCATCAGCCCCAAAAGAACTCTGCTGCTTTAAGTCTTCACCAAAATATTTATTTCTCTGACATTCAGAAGGAGAGAAATATTTGTCTTGATCATATCATTTAGGCTCTTCAGGGCAATGGCACCATTTCTCTGGGCCTTAGTTGGCTCCCTGGTAACACAAATGACCTCTCAAGGTTCTGCTTTTATGACTCCATTTGTTTGTAGCTCAGTATATGCTCAGAAAAAAAGACAGTAGACCACTGTACTGCAGATATAAAAATGTTATCTTTTAAATTCGCATATTTGATATTCTAAAATAAGGCAGATTAAGAGATGAGAAAGGTTAGTGAAGAATACTTAAAGATGGATACAACCAAATGGAAAGTACTGATAAGTAGAAGACTAATTTGGAAGTAGAAAGTGAAAAGATGCTGAGAAAGTTGTTTGAAAGGGAACCCCTTAGAAAGCAGTGCTTACAGAGGTGGTCCTGCGGCAGGTCTTCATAATGATCATTCTGTATGTCTGCTGCACACAGAACAAATACTGAACACCCCTGAATTCTGTTTTCTTGGCAAAGGTGTGTACCGTATGAGCTCACCATAATTGTGGGTCTTAGGAAAACGAAGAAAAAATTTTTGCCGAAAGCTATTTTCCATTTAAGGTAATGGGGTAATTCTAAAAACACTCTGTGTCTTCATGGATAATGTATGAACATATAAGAGGAAACATTATTATTTTGCCAGCAATACAGAATAACATCAGTGAAGGCAGTCATCAGTAGACTGAAAGGAAATGAAGAAGCTATAATAATTAAAATAAGCTCATGCAAATACAAGACTGAAAAAAGAAGTGTGTGGGGAGGAGGTAGAAGATAAACAGGTATTGGTTTTACTTGCTCATTGGTCAAGTCACTGCATGACTAAATCTAGGACCTGCCTGTTTGCTTCACAGAGACACCGCAACAAATCTTAAAACTCTAAAAGGAGAAGGGTAGCTTTTAGTCATGAGCAGGTTTAAGAACCAAGAAAAGAAAATGGCAAAGTCCTGCAAGAGTAGCATTTTCACTGCGATATCTATTATTAGGTAATCACGTACCAAGTATGAATTTTTCAAGAAACAGGGAAACTCTTGAAGGCAAAGCCATAAGTGCATTAGTAATGAGCCCTGCCTTGCACAATGCAGAATTATAACAGAGGAAAAGGATGACAAAGCTCATTATGTTTAAATCATGAAAGTGTAAATAACATTAAATGGCAAAAGCATTTAAAAAAATTCTTTGTGGAATTTTTTTGGTTAATTTAAATCAAAAGCAGAGTTGCTGTTTTCTAATTCACAGGGTTTTCTTTCCGAAGAAAGAACTCTCATTATCTAGTATGTATATAGTATAAGATCACTGTAATAGAATTATTTCCCCCAAATAGATGGAAGATTTTTTAAGAAGGGGAAAAGCATCTTTATCGACTCTCTAGACAAAGCCGCATATTCCTGAAAGATTTGTGGGCCTCTAATTGTTAAGAATTTGGGATAAATCTGGGCCCACTAGGAACTGACTTCAAAGCAATATGTTAAATATATGAAGCTCTTAGTTTTTACAAGTGAAGAATAAAAGAGTCACCTAAATGACAGAATAAGAGTTAATAAAAAAAGGCAAATGAATACATCTCTCTTTAAAATAGAGTCTATTTTAAAAAGTGAATTTCTTAATTCACATTGAACTTCCAAATTACTATAATCAGAACCAAAAGTCAAGAATACTAATATAAAGGATTTAGACATTACCCTCCAAAAGAAAGACTTCACAGAGAAATAAGATCCAAGCACTTCTTTTTCTGAGAGTTCCTAAAAATAAACAAATATTTAGCTACATTTTGAGGTGTTTTGAGCATACTTGATTAACTCATCAAAATTAAGACAAGTAAAAACCTTAAAATGATATACCCTAAAGACACTTTGGATGTTTATGAACTGTAAATTTTCTTCTTTTGAATAAATTACATTTTAAAATTTTAATTAAACTGTCTTGCTCTTATCTAATCCAGTGGTAGTAAAGCTTAAAAAGGATTATTTCTGTAATTTTAAAAGAATCTACTTACCTCTTTATTAGCTGTTTATTAATGCATCTGCAGCTAACACTTTTATTTTAGAAAGTAGAACTGCTTAAACATAGTTTAAAATTGAGAAATAAATCTGATACTATCGGTTCCTTTTAACAAGATAATTTAACATAACAAACTGTCAGAGAATTTTAAAATAACAACAGCACAAATCTTTTTTATAAACATGTACCTAGTCAATTTTGTCTGAATTCCTTACTAAAATTTTCCTAGTTTTACAATATAACACTTCGTATATATAATATAAATTACTTAGTTAATTGGAACTTCCCTAAAATGATTTTTAAAATAAATGAATACTAAGAAAGATGGCTATTTAGCTGGAAACAAAGCAACAGATTCATATTGGACATTTTATTATTTATCAGACTTTTATAAAGTGAAACCAATTTAGATTTTAGGAAATCAAGAATCCCCACTTTTAAAGAGAACATCTAAATTGCATGCATCCTTTAAACTTTATGGGAAACTGATGACAGTTATGGGAAAGCATCAACCTTTGCCACTGATGTAGAGAAAGCAGTTTTGTAATTTATTTGATTATTCCACAATTTTGTATTAGCATGATTACCAAGGATGGTAGGGCCCAGGACCTCACATGATACCTGATTATGCATAGAAGGTGCTCAATAAATATTTGATTGACTGTCAGTTACTTGGAATTACATTTGCTTAAGGATATATATTCCTTTCAAAGTGATCCTTCCAAGAAATCATGTCAGAAAGCAATAATGAACTAACATACTTTAAGGTGTGCAGCAATTTGAATAATTTAAGTTTAACTAGAATTATATCAGAGATCATTATGCACCCTACCTCTGATTTTTACATGAAATCTATTTCTTAATGAAACTAATTACATTTCCCTAAGTTGCTTGTACCTGGTTTGGTCAGGTAGCATAGTAATTGAGAGGTCATCAGGAAAAAGTCTTGAGTTTAAGACATGGTTTGACCATCATTAAAGAGTTACACATTATTTGCATTTATAGCACTGGTTCTCAACTGCCATATTTAGCACACTGTTATATCAGTTTCTAGAAAAATCCTTACAAAACACACTTACAGTTGAACATTGGAGCGCAAACCTTAGAAGCAATGACAGCAGCCTTTGATGCTATGCTACTGTTTAACTCGAAAAATCCTATTGTAGCTTCTGGAAAAGAAGCATGTTGTCCTATTCTACTGCCAGTTCTTTTTTTCCCTTGATTCCCAGCTCTCTTTTAATTAAGCAGCCTGCTAAACAAAATGTGGATAAATTTTAAAATATATTAAAGAAATTATTTCTCGAAGCTCCCGGCAAAAATCATTTCTCCAGAGTCAGTAACAAGTTATTCAGCTAACACTGAGTTTTTTCTTAATGCAAAATGTGTTAAGGTGACTTAAATCAATGTGAAAGTCTTGGCTCTAGACTCAACAGTCACAACAACTAAGACAACCATTTAGCACTTGAAAATCTTGTTACTTCATTTAAAGGTCAGGTGGTCTAGTGTTAGTCACTCAGTCGTGTCCAACTCTGTGAACCCACTGACTGCAGCCCACCAGGCTCCTCTGTCCATGGGATTCTCTGGGCAAGACTACTGGAGTGAGTAACCATTCGCTTCTTCAGGGGATCTTCCCAACACAGGGATCAAACCTGGGTCTCCTGCATTGCAGGCAGACTCTTTACCAACTAAGTTATGAGGGAAGCCTAAGTGGTCTAAGGTGACCTAAGACTGAAACTGCACCAATTCTACTCTCTCTTCTTCTCCAGATGAACATCAGGGACAATGACCTAATTATGTGATTAGTATGCAAAGAGCAAAATGAGATTGATGAGTTGGTGCGGGTAGGGAGAAATTTTTATGGTTAAGAACTTAGGTTTCTCTGTTAAAATTTGAGAAACAAAATGCTCATCACATTTGGATCCACTGAAGTCCCTGGGCTGTGCTTTTTATGCCATGTTTAATTACTTCTGTCATTATGAACCAACTAAAATTTATATTTGATTTTACAACCTACATTCTCATGTAAATTTAGGTTTTTCTTTCAAATAAAACAAGTTAATTTTCCTGTGGACCCTTATGCCACTTATACCTCTGATGAATATAAAATTCACAATAGATTAGCCAAGACCTTCTTTTCACTAGAATTTCTAATAATAACAATAACAAAAAACAATAATAATGAAACACCTGTTTTACAATAATGAGTTCTAAACAGAAAGTGGTGATTTTATTGTGGAGGGCAAGAAAAGTGGAATAAATTCATTATGAATTCCAGAGAAGACTTGTCTTAAGTCTTAATTATAGATATTTAGTTACACTTCAGTCTCTGCCAAGACAAGACTTTGGTAAGTGAAGGAAAGTGCCACTTTAAAAATGCTGAAATTATAAAATAACAACAAAAGGAAACAGAACAAAAACAATAGGTGTCAAGCAGATAAAAGGAAAATTATTGAAGTTATTCTGAATGATGAACTGTTGAACTATTTCTGTTGAGTTTTTTAATTTATTAAAGAAGCAAGATCCATTGGTAATATCTTTTTCAAATCTACTTTTTTTTTTTGCCTCCAAAAAACCCAACGCATACTAAGAAGTTTCTCCTCAAGGATTAAAAAATCCTACTATTAATCTAAAAGTTAATGAGATTTTAATTTAAACAATCTAGAAGATGTATTCTTTTTTTTCATTTATTTTTATTAGTTGGAGGCTAATTATTTTACAATATTGTAGTGGTTTTTGCCATCCATTGACATGAATCAGCCATGGGGTTACATGTGTTCCCCATCCCGATCCCCCCTCCCACATTCCTCCCCACCCCATCAGTCTGGGATATCCCAGTGCACCAGCCCCGAGCACTTGTCTCATGCATCCAACCTGGACTGGCGATCTGTTTCACACTTGATAATATACATGTTCCTATGCTGTTCTCTCAGATAATCCCATCCTCACCTTCTCCCATAGAGTCCAAAAGTCTGTTCTATACGTCTGTGTCTCTTTTTCTGTCTTGCATATAGGGTTATCGTTACCATATTTCTAAATTCCATATATATGTGTTAGTATACTGTATTGGTGTTTATCTTTCTGGCTTGCTTCACTCTGTATAATGGGCTCCAGTTTTATCCATCTCATTAGAACTGATTCAAATGTATTCTTTTTAATGGTTGAGTAATATTCCATGATGTATAGGCACCACAGCTTTCTTATCCATTTGTCTGCTGAAGATGTATTCTTTTTCTCAGAGAAATAAAACTAAATGTTTAATTTTTCCCCAACAAATGAATATGATGATATGTTTCATATTAAATGAAACTATTTATATATATTTAATGCTTAATAGTAAAATATTTATATATACAAGTATATATAAATATAGTATTTCTATTTATTTCTATATAAAATAAATCATAGAAAGATTTAATGACTTTGCCATTGGACAAGCAAGAATAGCCACTGAATTCATTAAAAGTGATATCTTTTATTGGCCTTAAATTGTAGACGCCTTTAAACACACTGCATGTTATTTTAGTTCAGTAATTCTATGATACTCAAAACATTCACAGTAGATTGGAAGTTTTGAAGTATGAGATTCCGATGTAAAAATCAAGTCAGCATGTTATTATTATTGCACAGCATGTTTTTATAGGTGCATAATTTCCTCTTACCTCCTTGCCCACTTCTTTGGGCATTTAAGAGGTAAAAAGCAAATACGTGCATAAGTAAATAATGTTCATAGCCTTTCCTAGTCACACTGCAATCTAGTTACCAAAGCCGTGATTCTCAGAGACCTCCAGCGAGTTGACTAAGCCTATCGACATGTCAGTGAATACAGGAATGTGAAGTCAGTAGAAGCGCACACTGAAACACTATTTTCTTGTTTTCTTGGTTCCTCAAATAGATGTTCATATCATTTACACTCTTTAAACATAAATATAATCCCTCTGCAATACCCACTGTCCTTCTAAATATTGTTGAAGGGAGAGAGGCAATGTCGGCTCCACAAAGGACCCACTCTGTAGCTGAAGCCTGGCCCAGCTTGGTCTTTTATTCTTTTTAGAAATCTTACCTGGAGTCTTTCTCATACATGTGTTTGTGTATATGTATACACACACACATATGTATATCTAACACATACATATATATATATATATATATATATATATATAAATACATGCATTGTCAACAAGGGCTTGTCAACCAGTCCTTAAAAAATTATGATTTAATTTCATTGTAGACATTTTGGGGGCTTTAAAACCAATAAATCTCCTCCAAGTCACATTCTACAACCACGCACACACACACACACATCTGTATCTCACATATACATATTAGATGATATACATTATATGTACATACATATGAATCTTTGAACTAAAAGGCCATGGAATCTGTGAACAAAACTTCATCACCCTGGAGTCAAGCTATGTCAGTTCCCTCTCTTTGATCAGTCCAGAAAGGGTCCAGAAAGCTCACTCAGTAGCACACATTAGCAATGTGAATGCCAATCTATGATCCAACAATTAAACATCCTAGAGCTAGAACAGAGGCATCATGGAATCCACTTTCTCCTTAAGATTACATTTTGGCATTTCATTTTGTGCCTGCTCATCCAGATTCTCCCCAAAGGTTTCCCAACATTTTAAAAATTCAACATGAGGGGTCAAATAAATGTAACACTCTTGTTATAGCAAATCCCTGTAGTTATGAATCACAATACATAAAAATTTATGATATTTCATCCCTCTGGGAAAACACTGTCAGAAATAGCAAGAAAAAAAATCATCTCAATATAAAATTTAATTATGGCTCCATGTATTTTGAAGGGATAATCCAATATTTACTGGCATTATGATATCTCTATTTTAAATGAACTTATTATGAATTTTAAGAGTATGATTAATTCAGATAAAAATACAGTCATTTATAATACAAATGTTCATGCAATTTGCCATTTGTTTATTGTTGTATTGCAGAAATCTTAATTATGAGGTTGACTTTATAGAACTTCCAAATAAGAAAAATTTTGGAGTATGGATAGTAGAAGAGTAAGAATTTTTAAAAGAATTTTATATTTCCTTCAAAAACATGTCAGCATTTAATATTTTCAGACATATACATAATCATTAGAAATGAGACACCAAAGAAAAGCCATTTTAGTCACTCACAGTTGAGAAAGTAAAAACCATTAAAGTTTTCATTTTTGCAACTTTTAAAAATCACCCTCTATTTATTATCAGGATATGAGGTCTTTATAAAAAGGACATGGTAATTGTTAAATAATGACTTTTTTCCCCACCATGTCTGACTGACTGTGTGAGATACTTAAAAATGTGTTAATCTGTTTCTCTACCATTTCTTAAATTAAAGCACTTAGAGGTTTTCACTGATGCATTTTTAATGTGTCATCCAAGGTGTCAGGTTTAACTACGCCCTGCAGACTTACAGAGTTGAAAGTGTTCTCTAGTTTAAATTAACAATATCCTTGCCAAAAGTCTTATTATAAATTGCCTCATTCAGCCAGTGAATAAAGTGTTTTATAGTTCATTAAAATTATGCTAAGTGATTAAAATAAAATCTTTATAAAAAAGATATTACTAAAAAATAAGCTATCAAGTAACAGAAGATATGCTAATGAGACATCATCACATAGTCATATTATTCAAAGGATGAACTCTTCTTAAAACAATTTTAAACTGTTATTGTTGAGAACAGAAATTGCAATGTGTATATCTTTATATCACAATGGTTATTTCTCATAGAATTAAAGTGATTTATTGAAAGCATATAAATTCATTATTACTCTCACTGATAAACTTATTTTCCTATGTTAAAACACACACAGACACACAATGAGGTATAAAATCATTTCTGCTTGCCATCTGACAGAGGAAATTATTTCATTATTTATTTTCTATTTTTTGTTTGACCCCACAAAATGAATTCACAAAATTCATATACACCTTCTCTTCTGTGCTCACAAAGCTTTCTTGTTGAATAATTTAGCCTTAGAATAAATTATCAATGATAAGCTTCTTCTAAAGAATAAAATATTACAATAACTCAAAGCATCACTATTTCTCTGCCAAAATGCATCTTGTCACCTACATAGAGAACTTTGGCCAGGATAATTATCCAGTTGCCCAAGTTTAGGGAGTTATCGATCCCTTTCTTCTTAAAATAACATTTTCCTACAAAAGCTTGGGCAGAGTTAGAAATGTGTACAGTGGAAAGTATGCCTTGTGGAAAAACCAGAAGGAGTGTATTACAGGATGCTACTATCCTCAGAAGAGGGAATAGGAATACTATGGAATTCATAATTCTTTACTGGCTAACATACAGTTCAAATATAACACATATTTTAACACTCTTCCTTTCTGGAGGTAAGTTTAGGAGTAGTTTTCCCCTACTCATTATTAGATAGTAACACACATATTCCAAATAATATCTAAATCTGTCCTGACCAGTAATTACAATTTCTCTGTCCGCAAATCGGCTCTTCACCTCTCTCACTTTCTTAGTAAACACAACCCCACATTATGTGAGTTTCAAAAATAATGAGATTTCTACTGAAAGAATCTGCCGTTGGCAAGACAATGAAAATGGCAGCTATTTAAGTAATGAAAAATTCCCTGAGCTGATGAATGTATACACTGAGGAGATGTGCATATTAAAAAAAATAACAATGTCATTTTAGATCTTCCTCTCCCCCCTTTCATGGTTATATCAGTTCTGAAAATAAAAAGAAAATAAGCAAAGGGGAACTCCACATTGGAGAGAATAGCTAACAACATTATCTGACTATATGTAAGTCTTTGGCACAAAGTGTATAATTCTCAAATCTTATCTTCACCAAGGGGGCTCAAAAGCAGATGGAAGCCTGTCTACAAAAAAGCAGACTTCAGTCCCATAAACCAAGATTCCAAAGAAGAAAACGACCTGTTTATATGAAAAATTCACCTTTGACTCTGAGTATGGTTATATCACATGTAAAAATACCTGTATTCAAGAGTCATCCGAAGAAATCACATGCTCTTTCCAAAAATAAAAGAGGAAAAATCTTTACTTACACAGGAAATCTTTAAAGGGAAAACACTGAAATCATTAGGAAAATGATGCATTTCCACAACACAGTAACACACATAACTACAAAGTACAGTCATTTATCCCTTCGTTTCTCCGGAAGGACTATTTACTTGAACATCATCCTTGCTCCTTCAATCCCCAGAGGAAAGAACAGGGGGGAGCAGTCTCTGTGTGTGTTAAGGAGAGCGGATGAGGTGGTAATTGAAATTTCAAACTTTCCCTGGATTTTCAATTTAACACTCTGCTCTTGTAACACTAAGATGAATATGGCACATATTTTAAGGGACAGTGACAATTTGAATGAATTATCAGGTATTCAGTATGTTCTCATAGAAAAAAAAAAAACAAATGATTTTCTTCTACTCAGCATTCACCATCCCCATTAAATTTTATAAAACTGAAAATCCCTCAGCCTAAAACCCCCAAAGCTATATTATTAAATACATTAAAAATAATCTACCAAGTACCCCAATGAGTGCAGTTGGATATAGGGAGTGCTGTATCATCAGTGTCAAGCTAGAAAATATACCAGTTTGAATGTACAATTGGATTGTTAATGCTTAAAAACTTTTAAGAAGTTTAGATATAAAAATAGCAAAGAATAGATGTTTATTATTTTTTGTGGATCAAAACAATGGATTTATGTTGGCTTAACTTATCTTTAAAACTAAATTTAAATATTAATTAAACTATTTAAAGAAGAATCTTTGCTCTTTTATATTACAATAAAATAGATTATTCCTTCTAGTTAATACTCAAAACTATATAATATCTTGCTCTCGCATTATATCTTAACTACAACTGGAAGAAAGATAGATATGTATTAATGGACTACAGTGTTTTTACACAGATACAGTATAATGTAGACACAGAATGAAGAAAGTCAAATTACATGAATTTTTAAACATATATATCTTTAATATAATACTAATTTTGAAGTATAATTACAAAGAAAAAAGTGTAATACAAATATGAACAGTGCAAACATTTCCTTCAGAACATTTTTGAAATTTTATTTTGGCCAGGAGAAAACCTAGTGAACACTAGGTGAGAAATATTCAGCAAGTTTCCTTAATAAATGTTTTTAATTTTATTAAAATGATAAAAGTGATTTTTTACGTGGACCTGACCTTTTTATGATCCAAATTATCTTTTGGCTGCTAATTCTACAATAACCGGGAAGAAGGTTTTTATAGTAAGAAATTCTGGTTAAGGCAAATTAAGACATTACCAAAAATAAGCATGTTGCTATAAGTATTTTCTTAATTCACGATAATGAAAGTGACAAAATTAAAGAAAAATTTAAATAATAGCATGATTCAATCAGAATGGAAGAAAAAAGATTGTTATGTTCCAGGGTCTAAAAAAATAAGTCACTATTCAAAAAGAGTACCGATTTTGTAAAATAGAAATTTGAGCCAAAAAGATCTTTAAAAATAAAATCCTTTTGATTTATTCCAAGGAGTAGTCATGCAAACGTCAGTTTCATCTTAATATTTATTTGTGTACAAGAGTGGTACCACCACTGAACAAATTAGAAACTTAGAATAGATCTTTTATATTTTACAAGTTATAGGAAGAGCCAAGGCTTGATAAGTTATGAGAACTATAAACTCCTCTCACTCCCAAGTGCCATTTATTTCATGAAGTGAGAGGAGAAGCAATGTTAGAAAGCTGTTCTCACGATGCACTTCAAAGATGTAGCAATAAAAGGATTTTTGAGTGTAGAAAACCTCAGACTCAGTTTTCAGTGAATGAAAACGGTAGATTATATGGATATTCCTCCTCTCTGGAGTTGTCCCTACCCTAGCGCCATCATTTTAAACCTCATCTGGAACAAAGGCATTTTCTAGACCCTGTGGTGCCCAGAACAGAAACCAGATGCTGAGAATGATGCTCAAAAGTGAGCCCAGATTAGCAAGAGGATGGTTTGGATGTGATTGATCAGAGCAATTTCTATTTACTGAAAAAGCATCGCATGATTGGCTTAAAGTTCATGGGGAAAAAAAGAAAAAAGTGAAGAGTGATGAAATTCTGAGGTATAGTTTGAAGAGGTATGAGAGAGCCTGGGAAAGCAACTGATAGTTTTTCTCAACGAGAAAAGCTGAAAGATCACATGCTCAGGATTACCTTACTTGATCTTTTCCAACTCTTCCTCATTAGCATTGTCTGTAAATGAAATAAAGCATTTTCATTATCTTATCACTCAAGCACAGGTCAGGGCAGCCAATTGTTTCTTGGAGGGAGCTTAACATTTAAACAGCAAACGGTTTCCAGCAACAATTACACAAGACAAAAATTGTTTTTCCTGGTACACACAGCTAGAAGAAGCACCTTTAACATTCAAGCAGTCTTTCTGGTACGAGTTCATTTGCTTTATCCTTTTGTACAAAGAAATGGGACAGTATATTTTAAATAGAATGGAAAATTTGAAATATCTTATTGACAGGAAAAAAACTGCATTGTGTCTCCCGATTAGCAATTGTTCCTTTTGGTAGTGGAGGCTGAGGATGTATCATGACTTTACTGGGTATATAATAATTTTCCTCTTTAAACACATTCAAAGTCTGTTGCATTGATGGCATCTTAGATTTGGGTCTGCCTCCAGTTAGTCTGTAATTATATCAGGGTTTTCAAATGCTTTCAACTGAGAAAAAGTACTGCATATTGTGATGGTTATTAGTGGATCTTCCTGCTAAATGTTTAGCCATTTCAGACCCTTTAAAGTTTTTTCATGTCATAGTAAGAGGTGTTATGACTTCATGTTTTCATTAAGTTTCATGGAAATTCGTGATGAGTGCCCAAGATCATTGGTCTCTCACATAAAGTAACTCATAAAAATACAATGACTTTTAATTTCCTCTCCATTTAAGAAGAAAAATTCTCAATGAGCACTGAGGTATTAACTTCTGGATAACCTCCTTACCCTCAGCTTTATCATTACCTTTTAAGGCAGATGCAGTAAGGAATAGGGAAGATTTGGAGCAAAGAATACAGTTAATAGAAATGCTAGCTGTATTTGTATATCAAGGAAGAGCACCGATGCCTTTTAAGAGCTCTATCTCCTTCAGCAAAATTCACTGTCAAGCAAGACCATTTCAGAAACCACCCACAAATTACAAAAATACAAAAAGTAAAAGATTTTAATATAAGATTAAGTCATTTAGAAGGTAACCTTTGGCTTAAATCAAGACAAAGGAATTATGTAGAAATGAGAAATTTCTCATAGGAAAGGAGAAAAATCATAAAATTGTCAAAGATAAGGATATATTCCTCTTTTACATAGACAGTGGTTTTATGGATTATATTCTCTCTATATACACTCTGAATTAAATATTAGCCAAAATATGGAAGAGAAATAGATTTCCCAAGTTTACAATAGTTCCCTATGTTTTTCAAATGGAGCCATAAACTGCAAAGTATTATATTTTTTCTAATTACTAATGTCCAACTTATTCTGAAGCAACAAAATCCACCACTGGGTTGTGGAGATGGATGTTTAATAGATGTTTGTTGTTGGTGACAAATGAGTTATTGTCATTGTCATCACCACCATGATCGTCACCATCACTACCACCACATCCTCATCACCATTCAAGTCAACTGAGCATGAAATACTTTCGTGGTATGCCAAGTTTATCAAAACTCTCCAAGTTAGGAGTCATACTGCAAATGTTCGACTTTCTCAGAAAGAGTTTCAATGAACAAAGAATGGTGATTCCTAGGGACAAGTTTTTGAGTCAAATCAGGTGAGAATAATTAACATAAGTAAATCAAAAACTAAAATCTCTTAACTCGTGACCATTTATCATCATCAACTAGTATCTGAGAATCTTACAAAGTTCCATTTTGTAAGAAATGCTGTCCTATGAAAAAATGGCTAAGAACATGAGCAGAGCTGAACCTCAAGGCAACACTCAATGTCACACAGATTCACTACTCCAGGCAAAGCCACACGCCCTGACTCATAACCGCTGTATGCAAAGCCAACTACAGGTTTGGTATTTTACTGTCTCTCAAAATCCCTTTTACCAATAAGCTGCATGGTATTATTTTTCAGATTGAGATACTGATACAAAGGGTCAGTAATTTCCCCAAGTGTAAATAGAAAGATTGGGCAGTTACAGGAACTAATTCCTTATTTTCTGATTCAATCTCTAGAGTTCAATTATAAATCCAATGACTCTCAAAATGGCCCTGGATTTTATAACAAAATTTCTGCTTCTTGAGCCAATCCAACCAGCTCACCAATGGGTTTAAGTATCTCAGTCCCAATTCTCTTTTATTTTTTAGATGGTTGGGTGAAGGTAGATTCAATAAAACTGAAAACAGTAGAAACGTTTTTTAAAAAGTGAATTTAACAGACATACTATCAATATTAACATTGCTACCTTCACTAACTATGAGACATGTTAGAGAAGAAAGATTGGGGAATGTTAAAGATAGCAGATGAAGCAAACTGTAGAAAAATAAGACTTAATTTTTGCTCTTTGATCTTAACTTCAGCTGAGAAACATATGAATTTGTTTTTAAAAGTGTCATTATCTAATATTATAGTACAATTCAAATTCTTTATTAGCAACTCAACTTCTTTGAAGCCCAATAAAAGGCATAAGTACATAAAAATATGACTCTGAGAGTTGCAGAATCTTTTGTGTTTTTAGAAGTTTCACAATCTCAATCCATTTTTTTGTTTTTATCTTTTGTTGCAGTGATTCTTTTAAGGCAATTACATGGCTAATATAGATATAAAAAAATCACAGAATGGCTAGATATTATGGTACCTACATATTATAAAACACATGTATTATATGTTTATAGATGGGTTTTTACCAAATGTTAGGTTATAAAACAATTCAGAAATTTTTCAAAAATAAACTACCAAGAAAAATATATTTTCTAAATTCACTAAAGGTCAACTAAGTTTAATTCATATGTTTCTTAAAATTTTCTACTTTTTAGCTTTAGCCAATCTGCAGGTCTAGGTTATCTAAGAGAGTGTGTAACACAAATTAACTCACTTTTATTCCACAAATTCGCCAATGAAGAAAGTTGTGGATTGAACTCTGCTAGAAAAAGAGCCAGAAAGAACTCAAACACACAATCAGACCAAAATACCATATATAGGACACACATGTATGCACTGCACACTGCAGTGTCAAAACAGGACGTGCATTCAAAACAGAAATGACAGTTGTGTCATGCAAGTCATCAGCATGCCCCCAGGAAGATTTTGGTTTCTCATAATACAACACTGAAAATTAAAACACACACACACACACACGTGTGTGTGTGTGTGTATATACATATATACATATATATATACACATGAATATACACACATACATACATATATGTATCTGTTCACAACTGGGATTTTTTTACAAAAGAATCATGACTCAATGGAGAAGATTTTAACATAGGTAACCATGAAATACTTTTGTTATGACTCATGTATATTTCTTAATTAGCTATAATTAGATATTGCATGTTTGAGAGGCTTTAGTAAATACAGTAGGCTGATAAGGTTTTCAACTTGTTCTTCATTTTTACTGAGTTCCAGAACAGGCTATTCACACAAGGAGAAATCATCCCAACCATGTGATTCATGAAATGCAATGTCAGTATTAATAGTGCATTAAAAACGGGCATGATAATTGATTTAGAACTCTGACCACTTTGTGATATTAAGTCCTCTATTTCCAGTTACTCATTTCTTCCCGCTTTTGATAGGATTTCTTAACATTAATGTTCTATTTCCTATCTGATGGTTAGGATTTATTTGTCAATGGCTCTTGAAACTCACACTATCCATTCTCCATGTGAATCCATGTAAAATATTTAGTTAAGTTTTATAAACACAGGCATAAGAATAAACATGTGCTTTTTGAACTGTCTTAAGTTTCAAAAGCTTAAAATAGATCATTTTTGAGCTAATAATCAAAGAGAACAGAACTCATAATTTTGCTGTGAGAAGGTCAATGCAAAATCATCCTCTATTCCTTCCCTATACATCATTCTGAATATTAAATGGAATTATGACTCATTTAGTAAACTGATTCTGGTTTGCTGCATTATGTGTTTGAATTTCTCTAAATAAGATTTATTCTTAGATAATTTGTGAAAGTTCAGCAAGTCATTTTCATTGCAGCAACATATATATTTCAGGCATATTAAAAATTGAATTTGAAGGTACACTGGATAATTGACTTGCTTTTAATCAAGAAATTTCTAATGCATTCCAGGTAAATATAGTTAGCCAATACCAGGCAAGTTACCAAAATGAAGAAAATACAGTGATGTGCTTCTAATTCATTGTCATCATTAGAAATCTCGAGACATGCAGTACAGACTGATTTTAATCAGATTATCATTAATATAAAATTTAAGAGTTCCAAGGGAACATTAAATCATTATTTCCAATATTGTTTGTGACAACCTCAGGGATTTGAATATTGAAGAAGAAAACTTAAAATACTTTCCCTTGAACCTTTGAGGCATTCCATCAAATCCTCCTTGAGATTCTTCCACAGCCCACTGAAAATCAACCAGGTACAGAAAGCTGGACTAGGTTCTAAGAGGAGTCATCATAAGAAAGGTAAGCAGAAACAATAGTTTTAAGTATTTATAAACACTTGTAAATTATTATTTCTTAAACCAGGGGGGACAGGCTATAGGATGGAGGCAAGGTGAAGTGCAGTATGTAGAAGTGTATTGGACTTGAGAGGAGGTGAGCTGTGTAGGAGTCTATATTTTGCTGGGACAAAGGTTACAAGTGAGGGAATGTACGTTCCTTTGTTGGAGACGATTAAAGCCTTCATCAGGAGTTTCCATTTCCATGTTAGAGAAATGGCCGGAGGTCACTGAACACTTAGAAGAAGAATAAAGAAGGAGTTATAATGCATAATGCATATAGATGATCAAGAAGTGGTTTTATTCAATAGATGCCTACAAATGGCATTTATTCAGAAGTTCAAAATCTCCTAAGTAGTGTCACTTACCAATTTTAGAGACAGTAATTAATAAACAGCTCTAGAACTGCTATAGAGACCAAAATAAACAGAAGGGGGGAAGTACTAATTCATGTGTCTTTGTTAGAAGTTTTCATCATGTAAAGCATATACACAGAAGCTGCAAACCCAGTCTAGGAATCAGACTAGCCAGGATATTGGAGATCCTAATGGAATTTCCTGTAGGGGACCTTGCATTCTTCCTCCTCTGCCCCTAACCCAGCTGCTTCTCAACAACCATCTCCAAGCTCCCAGCTGTCAGTCCATCCACAAAGAGGAGCTGAGGTAGCCAACCAGGTCACCCTCCTCTCGGCTTCTCCGGTGCTGCTGAGGTCGAGAGGGCTTTACCAGCCAGAGGCCGTCTCGGTACAGGCTGCCGCCCTGTGCCTCTTCTGAGCACCGGGCACTGATGGGCCACTTGCTTCTCTGGTGCCTAGGACAGAGCGTCCAAAATGGGAAGGGAGAAGACACCGGCTTTCAGTTGCTGCTGCAGAAACAATCTAGTGCTATTTGGAGGTATAAAGTAAGGCAACAAAAGAAAAATACTTGGCAATAAAAGATTTCTTCCAAAAAAACTAAGTTAGCCAAAGAGATCTGAATCAAGAAAATGGCATGAAAATTTCAGGAAGAATTCTTCATGTTAAGGGCGAATGTGGCTAGACAGATACCATAAGGAGAAAGGAAAATGAAGAAAAGATAATTAACAATTCTGATGTGTTAACAGTTTCGTGTATCCTACCCGTTTCCTTTCCTATTCATGTTTGATAAACCACTGATGATGAGTAACCAGGCACTGTCATATTCGAAACTGATTTTTCCTAATTAGAAAGAAATGGTGCCTAAATATGTTTGAGCAGCAATGAAGATGGAAGGATTTTTGCAAGAATTGTTGAAGAAAAACTAATTTCTGGAATGACTCTAACTGTGCTATATTTCTGAATAATTTAGAACAATTCAGCTGCTTCATCATAAAGTCTCTTGATAATAATTTGAACCCTTAAACCCTCAGTCTGATGTTAGAGTATTTAATAAATATTCTTTTAACGTAAAAAATCAGCAGACCCTTCATCATGAAGTCACCCAAATAACTAAAACAGTTGTATATATTTGGATCCTCAGTAATATTGCCAGTTTGGATGTTCTGGGGACACCTAAGATCTCAGGCACTCAGGTATTTTCATTTATGAAGTGTTGTCCTTCATTAAAGTAACAGCATCACCAAACAAGAATATTCTATCACCAAGTTTTGTTGATTTCACCTCTGATAGATAAACTGTTTCATTTCCTTCCATCTCTATGTCAGACAACTCTAATCCAAATCTCCATCATCTCCCACCAAAATGTTCAAAACAGCTTCCTAGTTGGTCTCCAAACATCCATTCTTACTCTTTCATCTGTAGCTACAGTGTAGCTACAAAACAAAAGACAAATACAATTATGCCACTTCTCCTTTACAGTCTTTTCAATGGCTCTCCATTGCTCTTTGGGGAAAGACCACGAACTGTCATGTGGCCAACAGTCCTTATGCAGTCTGGGTGCCTCCCTTTCACTGTCATCATGCACTAGGATCTCCCACAGTCTGCTTCCACCCTTCTCTAAGCTCCAGCACTTTTTCAATTCTTGGAGTGCAGCTTGGTTTCCCCAGCTATAGAGCCTTTGCCTGTGCTATTTCTTCTGCTGGAAATACCTCCTCTGGTTTTTGTTTGTTTGTTTTTTGCTTTTATCAATTCCTACTCGCACTTCAGACCTCGTGTCTCATTTGACTTCTTGCCATTTCCTTTTCCAAGAGATCTTTCCAACCCAGGGATTGAACCTGCGTCTCCTGCATTGGCAGGCAGATTCTTTACCACTGAGCCAGCAGGGAAGCTCACGGGTCTAGCATAGGATTTCGCTCTTAGTAGGTTCCTGATGAATGCCAGGTTAATTTGAATAAAAGAATAAATGAATGTTTATACTTTATTCCTGTGTATGGACTAGCCAGATAGGATATACTCCTCGGTTTATACTGGGTGAAATATTATATTCTGAACTGGTGACTTTCAAAATGATGAGCTTTTATTTCTAAATGTTCTCTGTGAAAAAACGTCACCTACCCTTTCATTTGCCCACATGAGACTATGCCTATGAACCTACATACATTCTTTTGCCATGCTAAGTTCTTAAGGTAATTATTCTTAGATAGCACTTGTTCGAAAAGAAAATTTTCTTCCTCACTTAATAAAGTATAGAGACTTAAATCATACTAACAAATATTATATATGAATAGGTGTGCTCATTGTTTAATTTTTAGAAAGGATAGAGAAAAGTGCACTGGAAAAGGTGAGTTTCTCAATGAGTTTAAGGCGCTTCCTCATCTGAAACTGTAACTCACTATATTCTTTTACAATCTAGGGGAAAATGCCAATTATATTAATACCTTTCCAGCAGAAAACATACATCAACTTTAATCATGCAATATTTGAAGACAGAAATACACACATTGCTGAAAAAGAGTGTTTAAATTTGCCTAAAAATTATTAAATATGTCTACTCTTAAAATGTGTTGCAATCAGAATTAATGAGAATAGCTCTTAGTACATGAAAGTACCCTGAGTCTAATAAATAATCTTTGTTAAATTGTGGCAGAAAGTGTACTGGCAAGCACATTGATGCAGGTCAAACCTGTACATATATATTTTTTTACCGTCACTTCAATAGTGCTGGAGTAAGCTTTTCTGTATCCCTTGTCAGTTTCTTATCACAGCATGGTGTGCAAGGAAGTACAGACAGCCAAGGCTAGAAAATTGGTACTGCCAATATTGGAAGCCCATCAAGAAGATGAAAAGTACTCACTTATCATTCATCAAACAAATACCAGAAAGCAGAAATTCTATTGTAATTTCACCTCATTTTCTTTGTTATGGTACATTTGACAATACAATCAAAACAGTAGGGTCTGGATATCTCTAGGTGGAATTCAAAATATTCAATTCACCAGTAAATATAATCCCTGAGTGAATATCACTGTTTGCTATAAGATAACATGTCTGAAATTGGAAAATAAAATTGTGATAAAAGATGCAAATGTGTCTCTTATTTACCGTAAGAGGTCCTGACCTGGAGAACAGAATAAGAAACTTGAATTCAAAAGACACGATACACCTAGACCGCTGATACACAAGATACTCATAGAAACAAAGAAAAGGCCAGACTTTCTTATGCTGCTTCTCTTTAATATTACCTCTGTGTTCAGAGAGGCTCGCAACATTCACACAAGTGGGAGCAAAAAAGCTACAACCAGACTCTGTGGGAACTTACCACATGTTCTCCTTCTTTAGGGGTAAGGACGACTGAGAGCAAAATGATTCCAAGATCATGGTCAGGATAATGGGGATCTTTCAGTGTTAAGGTCACATCCGTGGGCCTATGGTATAAAATGTTAAGATATTGAGCATGAAGAAAACCAGCAACAAAACGCAATCTACTGAGTGAAAAAGGATGGTTGCAAATGATAACACCCAATAAGGGTTCAATACCCAAAATGCATAAAGAACTCACATAATTCAATATCAAAAAACCCCAAGCAATTGGATTTAAAAATGGGCAGAGGACCTAGATAGACATGTTTGCAAGAAGGGACATGCACATGGGCCATAGACATATAAAACAATGCTCAAAAATCACTAATTAGGGAAATACAAATCAAAACCACAATGAGATATCACCTCACACCTGTCAGAATGGCAATTACCAAAGAAGCAACAAATAAGTGTTGGTGAGATTGTAGAGAAAAAGAAACACTTGTACACCATTAGTGGTAATTTATATTGGTGAGACCACTATGGAAAATGGTATGGGGATTCCACAAATAATTAAAAATAGAACTACCAGATGATCAAGCAGTTCCACTCCTGCCTGGGTATCTACCCAGAGAAAACAAAAATACTAATTGGAAGAGATACACGCACTCCTATGTTTATTGCAGCATTGTTTACAATAGCCAAGGTATGGAAGCAGTCAAAGTCTCCACCAATAGATCAGTGGATAAATAAGATGTGGTATGCATACACAAAGGAATATTACTCAGCCATAAAAATAACGAAATCTTGCCATTTGCAACAATATGGATGGCCTTGGAGGGTATTATAAGTGAAATAAGTCACACAAAGACAAATACTATATGATTTCATTTATATGCTGAATCTAAAACAAAACCAAACAAATGAACAACACAAAACAGAAACACAGATACACAGAACAAACGGTTGCCAGAAGGGAGGGAACAGGAGAACAGATCAAATAGATGAAGGGGATTAAGATACATAAACTTCCAGTCATTAAATAAATACATGGGGATGTAATGTACAGCATAGAAAATATACTCAACAATGCTGTAATAACTTTGCATGATGAGAGATGGTTACCAAGTTTATTGGAATCATTTTGTAATGCCTCTAAATGTCAAACCACAATGTTGTATACCTGAAACCTATATTGTATGTCAACTATGGTCCAATTAAAAATATATATATATAATATTAAAAAGGTTTTAAACAGTCATTAAATGAATAAGCCAAAGTATATCTTATATCAACAATTTATTATTTTTAAGAAGAAAAGTAATTTTGCCTTCCTTTAATTTCCTGGTATAGTTTTTGTTGTTATTAAAATACCATCAACATATTAAGTTATCCAATAAAATCATGGGCCAAATGGATAACTGGATTCACACACCTAAGTTTCAGTCCTTCATGGGGTTCTAGAAGGTCATGGAGTTACTGAAAAGGCCAAGAAAGTACAAGAAGGAAGCACTGAGAAGCCTGTAAGGTATGTCTCTAGGAGCTCTTAAACACACAGAAAGCAATAGCAGCTATTTCTACAAATTGGAGTCCAACAACTAAATGAGGGTCATTTATTGACCCCTACCTTCCTTTTAGTTCTTTGGAATTATTTTTAAACCAGCAGTATGATTTTTTAAAATTTATTTTTAATTGAAGGATAACTGCTTTACAAGTTGTGTTAGTTTCTGCCATACAACAATGTGAATCAGCTCTAAGTATATGTATATTCCCTCCTTTTTGAGCCTTTGTCCATCCCCCACCCACCCCATCCTTCTAGGTAGAGTATAATTAAAGTAAACAGATGAGTGGGAGAAGAGGAAAATATAACATATAATTTGCCCAATATATATTATAAACACTTTAAAACAATGAAGAGTGGTGGTTTAGTCGCTAAGTTGCGTCTGACCCTTGTGATCCCATGGTCTATAGCCACCAGGCTCCTCTGTCCGTGGGGTTCTCCAGGCAAGAATACTGGAGTGGGGTGCCATTTCCTTCTCCAGGGGATCTTCCTGACCCAGGGATTGAACCCAGGTCTCCTGCACTGCAGGCAGATCGTTTACTGACTGAGCTACTAATATTTAAAATAATGCTTCTATTTTTGGCTATTTAAACCCATGTCTAAATACTGTTTAGGTTCAGAAATTCAAGGAAACCAACACTTAAAAGATGTGATCAATACTCAGAAGGCTTCAGAATTAGAAAAGTATCTCTGAGGAAGAGATTATGAATTACTCAATATTAACCACAATAACTTTTGGAAAATAATGCAAAATACACCTTCAACTGACAATGTATAGGTAATACCTTGTTTCCATATAATACTGAAATATTAATTCCTTGTTTCCAATTAATACTGAAAAAAAAGGGTTCATGTCCTCCATAAACCTAAGTGAACGTAGAACATATAGCATCAAACTTGAATCTTGAGATGCCGGCAAATTAGGAATGTTCCTTTGGTTGTTCAATCATTTATTAATTTAACTCACAAAGCAGGAAGTGAACACTGTACTAGGTTCTGGGTAAAAATCAGCGGTCAAGACCAAATATAAGACACTTGTCTTCATGGAGCTTACGTTTTAGTGAATGATACAGCCAGATTCTAGTCTTGGGGAAAGGGCTTGATGGGAAAGGTGGTCCAAATAAAAACTTCCAATCCTGGATGCACTTCAGAATCAACTAGGAAGGTTTTAAAAAGAGCATGATCCTGACCTCTACCCATGATGACTCTGGTTCTGTAGATCCAGACTGGGGTCTGGAAATCTATATATTTACAAAGGTCCCCAAGTAATTTGGGGGAACCACAGCTACTTTCCAATGCTAAGATTTTACAATCCTAGGATACCCTTTCTTAATTCACCGATTCAAGGAATGATGCTATGAGAAATCTGGATGGTTTTTTGATGGTAGAGGTTTTTAACTGAAGCATAAAGAACCGAACAAACTGATAATACACATGAGTTATAAGAGCTGTGATGCAAATTGTTCCAATATTAATTTTAGTTATAACTAATCATTATGGTTTGAGAGTAACAACTTGATCCTTTTAACAAATGCACATTCATTATATTATATATGTGTATAATACATATTTTTACATACACACATATTACATACACATATGTATACACACATGTCTTTACATGGGGTTACAATTTTATTAGGATCATTTTCCTGTAATAATGATGACATTAAAAAATTAACAGCAAAACCTTAATTACATTTCTATAATGATTACATGATAAAGATTTAAGAATATTTGCAATTGCTTTACGATGATTATTGTTTTCTTCAAAAACAATACCTTAATGCATTATATAGCAGACTAACTATTTATATGGCTGCTATTGCTATCCATCTGTCTATACACAGAAGCTGCTGATTTCTATACACAGAATGCAATGGCATACATGAATAATTTTTTTTAAGTGGTAACAATGTTTAAGTGGTTGGGAGGGGAGGGAATAGCCCACTAAATTCATAAAATAATGAATGTGGCAAAGTAAACATCAAATGCTTATGTATAATCTTTGAAATTTTTTTAACCATCGCCATTTTTTTCCAGTTAAAATATTTTTCAGCAATAGTTTATATTTAACAGCGAAAAAAAGAAATTTGTGCTTTATGTTAGAGCTTAGTACTTTGCAGATCCTTATTCAGGGTCTAAGGGGAAAATAACTGTGGCCTTCAGAGAGGAGCAGCACAGCCCATTCTAGCTGGAGGTGTTTCACGATAATGGACCATCTACAACACCTTCGAGGACAGCCATGCGGAGGTGGGGAGCCAGCCATCACCCTGAGTAACTTGAGTAATGGCCTGCGCTAGATTCTGGGGTGGGACGAAGGACATGTAGGAAGTAAGGAAAAAGCTGCTCTTTCGTCCAGTGTGAGGCACAAATGACATTGGAAGACCAAATAACTGCCATCAAGCTCAGACTGTAACATATAAGGGTTCTACTATTTATATTTCATCTACATGTAAAGTATAAAGTCGTGATCTGGCCCACTGCTCTGCTTTCTACTATTCCTGCTACATGATATATAATACGATCATCGAAAACATCTCTTTAAAACCACTGAAGACGAGTTCACAGCTTCCTTTGCAACCCATTTCAACACTGCTTTAGACCTTTGAAAGTCTGCTTTTTCTTGTGTGGTAATGGTTTAGTAGCTAAGTCATGTCGGATTCTTTAGACACCACGGACTGTAGCCCACCAGGCTCCTCTGTCCGTGGGATTCTCCAGGCCAGATACTGGAGTGGGTTGCCATTTCCTTCTCCAGGAGATCTTCCCAACCCAGGAATCGAACCCAGGTATCCTGCACTGCAGGCAGATGTTTTACCGACGGAGCTAGTACCCGTGGTGTATTAATCAATACCAATGATGTGTTAATCAATATCAAATGGTGGCTTCGTTCTTAAATTAATGATTATGGTTAACATGCATAATCTTCATGCCTCACTACAACCACACCAGCAATGTGAGAGTGAAGAATGTGTCAGTCTAGATTCCTGGCTCTTGGCACAGCCCGGAAAACAAAGTAGGTGTCTTTAAGAATTTTTCTGCTGAATAGCTATTATCAACGAGATAGTGCGGGAAGATGCTATTATTTCCACTGAGTAAGTGAGAAAGAGCTGGCTAGTATGAAGGCTAACAACTATAATTGACAGAATAGCAACAAGAACCCAGATCCGTTGACATTTTCTGTTTCAAAGGTCTAGCTTCACAACAAGGTATAGTGATTACAACAGTCCAAAAGTTACCTGTTTAACTCCAATTGTGTGAGATCCAGAAAGGCTGAGCCCATAAAGTCATCCTGCAGTCCAAAGTCATAGTCAAACACCTACAGAGCCAAAGACATAGACATTATTATGAACAATTCTGATGTAAACCTTAAATGAAAACACCTTCATTATAAAATATTGGTTTTCTATGTCACCAGAGTCAATACAATTTCCTCAGATTTATTTTTAAGATTTTATTTGTTTTTATGTTTTGAAATGCTAGGGTCTCACAAAACATTCAAAGAGAATTACATTTAATTTTGTAACTAAATTATTTGATTTAAAATAAAATAGAAGTTTACAGAAGATGAATAACAAAATCAAATAAAATATAGTAAATTGTCAAAAATGTGGGAACCACAGGCTAAGGAAATTTACCCTTCAATATAGAAGCTGTATTAGTATTACTGAAAGGTAAACTGAATTGGTATGAAATTCAACAAATATGTCTTCCATAATGGGCTGTAGGTGATAAAGACAGGGCTCCAATTTCTGTATTTTTTTCAGGTCATTGAAGACATCCTCTGACATTCTAAGACAATGTGGTTTTAAACATACACAATAAGTAAACAGTAAGATATAATGACTATAGCATTTTATAAGTTATACTTGTAAGTTATACTATGCATATTAAAAAGCAGAAACATTACTTTGTCAACAAAGTTCCATCTAGTCAAGGCTATGGTTTTTCCAGTAGTCATATATGGATGTGAGAGTTGGACTATAAAGAAAGCTGAGTGCCAAAGAATTGATGCTTTTGAACTGTGGTGTTGGAGAAGACTCTTGAGAGTCCCTTGGACTGCAAGGAGATCCAACCAGTCCATCCTAAAGGTGATCAGTCCTGGGTGTTCATTGGAAGGGCTGATGTTGACGCTGAAACTCCAATACTTTGGCTACCTGATGCGAAGAGCTGACTCATTTGAAAAGACCCTGATGCTGGGGAAGATTGAGGGTGGGAGGATAAGAGGATGACAGAGGATGAGATGGCTGGATGCCATCAGTGACTCAATGGACATGAATTTGAGTAATCTCCAGGAGTTGGCGATGGACAGGGAGGCCAGGCATGCTGCAGTCCATGAGGTCACAAAGAGTCGGACATGACTGAGGGACTGAACTGAACTGAATGCTGAGATTAAGCTTCTATTGTCACAAGCAATTATTCAGGGATAATATTAATGTAACTAATAACAACAAATAGACAGAAAAAGAAAAGGATGTATTTCTTCTGTCAAAATCACGTGTCTCTTTTGTGCCTTTCATGGCTCATGTTCATACTATGACCAACAAGACAAGCAATGTGCTTAACCTTCTGGATCCTACATTTCACAGCTGGGAGAGTCAATAAAAACCTGAATAGATATGTAGAGTTCTGCAAGGAGCACCATGGAGACAAAAGTGTAAGGGAGTGTGTTGGGGGCTGATATTTTATATTGGTGTCTAGGAAGGCCGCTTGGAGGAAGTATATTTGTGTAGAGCCTGAAATAATGAGGATTAAGCCACTAGAATGGGAAGAGCAGTCCAAGTGAAGGAAATAGCAAATGATTAGCATGTTCAAGAATCAGCCAATAGCCAGCATGGCTGAAGCAAAGTGAGAAAGATGGAGACTGGAGGGAAGAGGGGGTGAGAATGCAGAGCTAGATCAGACGGGGTCATTTCCAAAGAATTCTAAGTAAATGAGAGCTGGCTAATTTCCATCCATTTAAACTTTTTCTTGGGCTTCCATGGTGGCTCAGATGGTGAAGAATCTTCCCGCAATGCAGGAGACCCAGGTTTGATCCCTGGGTGGGGAAGATCCCCTGGAAGAGGAAATGGCAAACCACTCCAGTATTCTTGCCTGGAGAATCCCATGGACAGGGGAGCTCAGCAGGCTATAGTCCATGGGATTGCAAAGAGTCGGGCATGACTGAGCAACTAACACACACAAACATTTTCTTACGGAATTCCTCAGCCAACATTGATTAAATACTTATTATGTGCCAGACAATGTGCTAGGCACTTAGCAAATTGTGGTGAATTGTCCATGCTTATAGTTTAGTGAGAGAGAGAGATGATATTCAAGGAAGTACCCAGGTGTTACAATCACAAATTTTAATAACTGTTGTAAAGACAAGAACAGGGTACGAAATAGAAAAAAAGTACATTGGAGATCAGGGAAAGCTTGGGAGATGGAAAAAAATGCTACTAGATGAAGTTTAGAGCTGTGTGCCTGACCTTTTCAAACGGAAAATCACTGTATTGCGCACTGTACAGAGCATGAACAGGTAAGTCTGCTCTTAAAAGGATGAGCCAGACCATCGCACTCTCCAGGCTATGAGAATCCACTGGTCATCGCTGTTCTGCCCAATTCATGACACATTGGCTAGAAAGCTCTAAGCAGAGGGAACAGTATATACAGAAATCCTGCATCGTTACTTTTTCTTTCCCTCTAGTATATATGTGTACTGCAATTTAAGCAAACTTAATACGTAGAAAACTGATATCTAAACAAAAAATACATACTTTGCATTACAAAGGGATTCTTAAATTGGAAGAGTAACAAGGGATTTATTTAAGTTATAAGTTCCTCTAATGCCTTTTAAATTATTCAATTTATAGTCATTTGATTTACATACAACCTTTCAGGAGTACATTTGTTGTAGAAGGCGCAGCACTCCTGCAATAAATATTCTCCTTGATCAATTACACTTCTGAGCTTTAGTCATCCGCTCAGTGGCATATCTTATGCAACTGACACCTTAGTACATGCAAACAGCTGCAGTAGTGTATTTTACAGCATAAAATTTACACCAAAATTAGAGAAATCTCTCTTGTACAATCTCTTCTAATTGTATCAGCCTAAGGATTAAAATCTTGGGGAGACTACAGTGACCTATAACCCATAAGAACACCTGAGGTACATCTACACATATAATGTGGAAAGCTGTGAATCCAGTGACTTGATCCGTGTAGACATCTCATATGGGTGATTCAATGTTCAAACTGTTTAGTCTCATGGGGAGAGTCTTTTCTACCATCCTAATGCTAGATATTTACATTAGTTCTCAATTAATCAGCAAAGGCATTAACATGGGGAAGAATGCAGACACCAGAATCCATTCATTAATGAAACTGTTAGCAATGAAATTTGCAGCCAAGCTCTATAAAGTATTTGTCAATTTATATGTCAGTTTACTGCTCTAGATGAAATGTCAGAAAATAGGGAGCACGGAAGAGAGATGAAATAGGAAAAGTACTCCCACTGCAATAAGTACAGTTAATGATGATTAATGTTTATCCAACATTTACTATATATAAGGCACAGCCTTAAACACATCATATAGATTTTTATTAATAAATTTCACTCTTTTACAACTTAGTGAACATAGCATTGCTTCCATCTGTCAGATAAGGAATCCAAAGCTTAAAAATATTTATTTTACTTGCCCCCAAATTCCAGGACTAGGAAGAAGTCAGAGTCACCTCTTGTAACAGATTTCAGACACAGAACATCTTTAAATTGAACAAACATAATTTGAGAACCCACTCTGGGTAAAGCACTGGGAATTCAAATGTGAACAATTCATAAGGGATATTTGCTTTCACAGACCCTCTGCCCCATGAGTTGGAAATATTAGGTAATATTAGGTGGAAGCTGATTGGGACTGAGTAACACCTCTCTTCATTCTCAAGCAAGTCCAGAACATGAAATGCTTTATTCTGATCAATGAGTTTATTTATCATCTTGATTCAATTGTTTTCTATGGAAACTGGATTAGGAAATGCATCAGTTAAAATGCTTTTGGGTACAAGTAACAGAAAACTCAACTCACACTGGCTTCAACAGGAATGGCAATTTATTAGCTTAATGAATGAAATGTTCATAGGTAATTATGACTTCAGGGGTGTTTATATTTGGGGCTGTTCAAATGATTAATATATGTATTCATTCATTTACTTGAAAAATATTTGATGGACACCTGCAATGTGCCAAATACTGCTTAAGGCACTAGAAATATAGCAGTGAACAAAATAAAGGGAGGGATCCTTGATATATGAAGGGATGAAGAAAATAAAAACATGTTAGGTGGTGGTAAGTGCCATGGAGGAAAATATCAGAGGGAACGGGAGTGATGGGAACTGCTGATGGGAGCAACATAATGGGAATAGGAAATGAAAGGTACTCAGGCCACATAGGTACCCAGGTATCCTTGGTCCAAGATATAAGATGCTACTCATACAAGTATGTCTATGATGCATTTTCACACCTAGGCAGTTTCAAAACAACCGTTTCACTATAAAAGAATAATTAAACTTCAAGTCATAAAACTGACATTATAAAATAAATAAAACAAAACCTAACTGTGGCCATTGCAACTAGTTACCTCTAATGGAAAACAGAAGCTATGCTGCTTAATTGCTGGGAGGACGTAAGCAAACCCTTCCCCTCTGGGAGCCTCATTTACCTGTAAAATGGAGGTGAGAAGAGCTACTTACAGGGGTATTGAAAGGACTACATGAGACAATGTAGGTCTGGCAATTAGCACAGCGCTCTGTAAATGGTAGTTAGTATTATGATGAAACTGTGACTGCAGATTCCATCTTTCTAGGACTCAGTAACTTCACACGGTCTTTATCCATAAAAGCAAGTACAGCCATGTTTTGCTTTGCTATTTATTTTGTGTCTAAAACAACTGAGATTCTTGATTCATGCACTTAGGAAATATTTTTGAACCATTCAAGACAAAGCATGTAAGATAATGCAAACATCTAACTCTGAAATAATTTTGTTTGGGTTCTTTACTGTTTATGGTTGTGAAATATTTCCATTCCAACTATTCAGCTGTTTCCATTCAAATGTCTAGAAGAGTGTCTCTCTCCTCAAGCAATACATCACAGAAAGAGAATCCATTTTGTATCTAAACAAAGAAACACATTTTCAGACCCTCTGCTCCATGAGTGGGAAACATTAGGTAATATTAGGCAGAAGCTGCTTGGGGTTGAGTAACACCTCTCTTCATTCTCAAGTGAGTTCACAACAAGAAATGTTTTATTCTGATCGAGTTTATTTATCTATACATTTTAAATTTATTTACCTATACATTTAAATATTCTGTACAAAGCAATACATTTTCAGAAATAGAAGCTTGTACTCCAATTCAGAGGTTCTGAATCAGAACCTTTGCGGGAGAGATGGATCCCTAGATCCTTTAGAATTTTAGGGATAATTCTGATGTACAGTCAGGATTGACAGTCATTGGCATATGACATGACATTCTTTTCAGTCAGTCAGTCCAGTCACTCAGTCATGTCTGACTCTTTGCAACCCCATGAACCACAGCACACCAGGCCTCCCTGTCCATCACCAACTCCTGGAATTTACCCAAACTCATGTCCATCGAGTAGGTGATGCCCTCCAACCATCTCATCCTCTGTCGTCCCCTTCTCCTCCTGCCTTCAATCTTTCCTAGCATCAGGGTCTTTTCAAATGAGTCATCTCTTCGCATCAGGTGGCCAAAGTATTGGAGTTTGAGCTTCAACATCAGTCCTTCCAATGAACACCCAGGACTGATCTCCTTTAGGATGGACTGGTTGGATCTCCTTGCAACCCAAGGGACTCTCAAGAGTCTTCTCCAACACCACAGCTCAAAAGCATCAATTCTTTGGCACTCAGCTTTCTTTATAGCCCAACTCTCACATCCATACATGACTACTGGAAAAACCATAGCCTTGACTAGATGAAACTTTTTTGACAAAGTAATGTCTCTGCTTTTTAATATGCTATCTAGGTTGGTCATAACTTTCCTTATGAGGAGTAAGCATCTTTTAATTTCAAAGCTGCAATCACCATCTGCAGTGATTTTGGAGCTGCAAAAAATAAAGTCAGCCACTGTTTTCACTGTTTCCCCATCTATTTGCCATGAAGTGATGGGACCAGATGCCATGATCTTAGTTTTCTGAATGTTGAGCTTTAAGTCATTTTTTCCACTTTCCTCTTTCACTTTCATCAAGAGGCTCTTTATTTCTTCTTCACTTTTGTCCATAAGGGTGGTGTCATCTGCATATCTGAAGTTATTGATATTTCTCCTGGCAATCTTGATTCCAGCTTGTGCTTCCTCCAGCCCAGCTGGTGATTGCAGCCATGAAATTAAAAGACGTTTATTCCTTGGAAGGAAAGTTATGAACAACCTAGACAGCATATTAAAAAGCAGAGAAATTACTTTGTCAACAACGGTCCGTCTAGTCAAAGCTATGGTTTTTCCAGTAGTCATGTATGGATGTCAGAGTTGGACTATAAAGAAAGCTGAGCACTGAAGAATTGATGCTTTTGAACTGTGCTGTTGGAGAAGACTCTTGAGAGCCCCTTGGGCATCAAGGAGATCCAATCAGTCCATCCTAAAGGAGATGAGTCCTGGGTGTTCACTGGAAGGACTGATGTTGAAGCTGAAAACTCTAATACTTTGGCCACCTGATGCGAAGGGCCGACTCATTGAAAAAGACCCTGATGCTGGGAAAGATTGAAGGTGAGAGGAGAAGGGGATGACAGAGGATGAGATGGTTGGATGGCATCACTGACTCAATGGACATGAGTTTGGGTAAACTCTGGGAGTTGGTGATGGACAGTGAGGCCTGGCATGCTGCGGTTCATGGGGTCGCAAAGAGTCGGACACGACTAAGAGACTGAACTGGAACTGAAACGAGATGCCAGCAGTCTGGTGCTTTCCTTATTAACCCTGTTCTCCTTTCTTATCCATTTCCATCATTTCCTTCAATAAGCTCTAACTTATTTCTTCTAAACCTCCCTAGGAAAAAAAAACTTTCTTACATCCCACTTATCTTTTCCAAAATTTCTATTGACCCCTTACCCCAGCTGTGTATTGTGAGGGTGTTTCTTTTTTTTCTCATTTAGGCATTTCTTTCTCTCTAACATTTCTGACCAGGAGGTCTTCCCGTCGGTAGGGGCAGGGGGCGTTGGCCATGAATAGGTGGGTCATAATATATTGATCGCTAAAAGAGAGTACGCTAATTCTGTGTAACAGATTTCCTTTAACCAACGTCCACTTGAGACAATTTCTTATGCAAATACAGTCTATTTCTTATGCAAATATAAGTCTGTTCACCCCATAATGACTTCTAGAAACTTATTAACTCTATACTTGGAGATGGTCTTGTCATCAACTTTATACAGTGTCCTGCTAATATTTTAATAACATCTTGATTATTTCCCCCTTTTTGTGGAAAAGAGAAATAACTGGAATCAACAGATGCGAAGATTTGAGGGAGAGGAGGATGTGCAGAGATTGCTGAAAAAGGGCTCCTGTGGGATTTGGGGCTCATGCGAGAAAAAGATGGGGCATGTGATGTGGTCAAAGTAGAAAAAGGTTTGGTCACTGGATGGATAGTCAGAACATAGGAGCTGAAAAGAAAATAAGTATCCACAGACATGAATTAAAGGGAAGTCACGTATTTTTTCTTTATTTGAAAGTAAAATAAGGAATTATGGTTAACTCTTTCCACAAATTCTTTTTCCTCTTTGTTCAAAACTACATCAAATGAGAGGAAATACTCTTTTTTTCCACCTTTGATAATGCAATAGAGACAGGGGTTTTTCTCCCTCTATTATCTTTAACCTCCTCACCTTCCAAGTAAAGCATTTTGTTTGCAGCCAGGAATGGTAGACCCCTGATGTTAAAATAATTCTTAAACACAGACTGTGTACAAGATCTGATTCTTGCTCTATTACATGGAGACTTGTTTTTATATGTTCCCAAAGTGTGTTAAATTCATTAACTGCACCAAGCAGCAGGAGATGGACTTCATAGTCCTCCTAAAAATGACTGGAAATAGAACTGTCTGGAAGAAGAGTGCTCCCACGAGCTCCCCCTGGTGAATATAGCTCATTCTATCTCATCACTAACAGATTAGAATTGAGTATAGCAGAATATATCTCTGGTGGAAAAGCTTATCAGACAGAGAGATGTGATTTTAAAACCATTAAATGAGGGTTTCTACATCAGATTACATTAGGGAAAAACAAATAAATGGCTCACCTTTATATATAATGGCTCCCTAAGATGATCAACAAGAAGGCAAGCTTTCTCCTCCCACACAGGATTGAGGTTCTTGTGTATTATTTTACTTCTAAAAACTTCTTTCCTTCCAATTTTAAACTTCACGTATGGATCACTTGTCCCTGTTAAAGAGATACAGATCGATTCATGTTAACAGTGCTTTTCTACAGTAGTAAGGCAACACCTCATCTAAATATCACAAAGTGGCTAAAGGAATAAAATTTAAATAAAGCTTATCAAATAGGAAATAAAGATTAAGTGTCTTTTCCTAAATATTCCCTTAAATATTGAAGTGATGGTAAAGAATAATAAATACTATTACTATTATTATCATATTTCCTGATCTTAACACTATAACCCTGTCCTGGTATGTAAAAACTCCACTGCATGCTTCTTATGTAAATTTAATTTAAATCATAGAGATTAATCTGACATTTCATCTGGTCAACTGTAAAAAAGATGGTCTATGACTTCAGCTGACTTAACTAGCTTTAGACTTATAAATGCTGCTAAAAATTTACACTAGACTAATGGGTTTAGGAAAAGGTGAGTCTTAAATTGGGCTTCAATTTTATCCTTGGTCCCATATTCTCTCTTGTTCATAAGTTTCAATTTTAGAATATTGGGGAAGGATGGAAGTCTCAGAGGAAAGAATCAGCAGGAAGGAGACAAATGATTATTAAATTATCTTGAAACTTCATATTATCCCTTAACACTTTCCAAGCTCCCTCTAAAGATAAAAGAATAGGCGTCATATAAGCTGCCCATGGGTACACAGCAAGCAAGAGATGGAGTTGGGCTTACAACCAAGGCTATCTGATTCTAACATCTGGGCTTTTTTTTTCTTCATCTGCAAGAGGAAAGGGCCTATATATACTGTCATATATATTTATACCATTTGTCATTTTGACTGATGAATGAGACCAATCTCGTCTAATGAGTCTATGCTGTTATTAAGGATTCCTAGGAAAGGTAGATCAGGAACATCACCAAGGAAACCATTACAGTGACAATCTTCATCCTCAGGAAATAATTCTTTATACAAGATCTGTCTCCCTTAGAATAAAATCTTTTTTCATTCTTTCTGTTTTGTCCAACCTGAAACTGTAGTTGATAACTATGGTCTACATGATTTAAAGAAAAATGTGAGTGAGGCTCAGAAAATTATAAAGCACTCTCTAAGTTTTAGATATTACAATTATGATGCTGGTATACTTAAACCGCCTTGGAGAAGGAAATAGCAACCTACTCCAGTATTCTTGCCTGAAAATCCCACAGACAGAGGAGCCTGGTTGGTGGGTTAGTCTATGGGTCACAAAGAGTCAGACATGATTTAAGCAACTAAATAACATACTTAAAACTTAATACTTAACAACATACTTAATACTTAAAACTGCCAACCTGTATTCCTCCTCAACACTCCACTCACTTCCCTGACACATAAATATCTATGCTAAATATAAGGATTGCCTTACAGAATTTGTCTTTTCTTATATAATCATTGGGGGGGGGTCCCTCAAAACTCTCCACATCCCCCATACAAATATAAGGCCTTGTTTTTGTATGCTCAGACCTGGGTTTAATAGAACAATGATTCCAATTTCCCACTGTGAAACTCCCATTTTGACAGGTTGATTTTATTGCAACAGACAGATTTTTTTTTAATGTTTTTAATGTAAATACAGGCCTAATAGTCATGTGTCACAAGGCATCCTTTAAGGGAGTCAATGTGACCACAATGTTTAATATGGCTGATCTATGTTGATGTATGGCAGAAATCCAACCCAATGTTGTAATTATCCTTCATTTAAAAATAAATAAAGGAAAAAAATGGTGATTTTTTAACACAGCGATTCGCAGCTCCAGGCTGAGCACCCTGGGGATTGGAAGAGTTACAGCATATAATTTGAGGGATATTAACAACCCTGCATCCATCTGAATTTTCTCAGTCATGCTCTAGATCAAGTTACTGCCTTTGACTTTGACCATCACCTATGCAACTACTACCAGTTACTAGAATATAATAAGCTCTGTAAGGTCACAGCCATTCGTATCACTGTTTTTAAACCCCCAGCACTTAAGTACAAACTCAGACACGTTGTTGGTCCTCATCAGCATGCGGTAAGCAGCTGGATGACTCGGTGTGGGTGGCAGGCCCTCCTCCTGCTGACGCTGGTCACCTCCACTCGGCGACCTCACAGACATGCCCGTGTTAGCGCTTTAATGGGCCTCGATCCTCTCCTGCTCAGGGTGCCCCCCCCCCCCGGCTTTGTCATGGGGGTTAAGGGCTCCACTATTTGACATTTCCTCCAGCAAGACACTGAGAAATCATTCTCCATACCTCGTTCTCCATCCAGGACACCACCAAGTCCAATGGATTCTCCTCCAAAATATACCATGAATCTGTCTTCTCTGTTTCCATTCTCAATAAGCTACCACAATTTCTTTGCTATGCAGCTGCAATAACTTCCTAACTAGTCTCTCCATGCTTTTGGGTCCTCCTTTAATTTTCTGTACTTTGGCCAGACTGACCTTTTAAAAATGCAGATTTAATCTTCTTCCTTCTTTGATTAACACATCTCATCACCTTTCAACCACACCTATAATAAAACTCCAAATTTCTAAGCTGGCATACAGAACTTACCATCTTTCCACCTTCATTTTTGGCCTCCACTCTGTTCCAGCTGTCCTGTTATTAGAAGTTCTTTTCTGCTTCCAGTCTTAGCATCTTCCAACCAGCTTCTCTGCTTAAAAAGCCCCTCCTTCCCATTCTCTCCACCTCCCCACCCCCCAACCAGGTCTTAGATTAAATACATAACTTGCTAAAGGATGTTTTGCTCAACATCCCAATCAGAAATAGGTTTCTTTATTATTTTCTCCTGGCATTTGTTCTCTTGTGTAGTAGTACTAATCATAATGCTGCTGCTGCTGCTAAGTCGCTTCAGTCGTGTCCGACTCTGTGCTACCCCACAGACGGCAGCCCACCAGGGCCCCCCGTCCCTGGGATTCTCCAGGCAAGAACACTGGAGTCGGTTGCCATTGCCTTCAATGCATGAAAGTGAAAGGGGAAAGTGAAGTCGCTCAGTCATGTTGGACTCTTACCGACCCCATGGACTGCAGCCTACCATGCTCCTCCGTCCATGGGATTCTCCAGGCAAGAGCACTGGAGTGGGGTGCCATTGCCTTCTCCCAATCGTTATGCTACTTGCGGGTTAATAAATCTGTATGCAGGTCAGGAAGCAACAGTCAGAACTGGACATGGGACAACAAACTGGTCCCAAATAGGAAAAGGAGTACGTCAAGTATATTGTCACCCTACTTATTTATCTTATATGCAGAGTACATCATGAGAAATGCTGAGCTAGATGAAGCACAAGCTGGAATTAAGATTGCTGGGAGAAATATCAATAACCTCAGATATGCAGATGGCACCACCCTTATGGCAGAAAGCAAAGAAGAACTAAAGTGCTTCTTAATGAAAGTGAAAGAGGAGAGTGGAAAAAATGACTTAAAGCTCAACATTCAGAAAACTAAGATCATGGCATCCAGTCCCATCACTTCATGGCAAATAGATGGGGAAACAGTGGAAACAGTGGCTGACTTCATTTTTCTGGGCTCCAAAATCACTGTAGATGGTGACTGCAGCCATGAAATTAAAAGACGCTTACTCCTTGGAAGGAAAGTTATGACCAACCTAGACAGCATATTAAAAAGAAGAGACATTACTTTGCCAACAAAGTTTCATCTAGTCAAGGCTATGGTTTTTCCAGTGGTCATGTATGGATGTGAGAGTTGGACTATAAAGAAAGCTGAGTGCCAAAGAATTGATGCTTTTGAACTGTGGTGTTGGAGAAGACTCTTGAGAGTCCCTTGGACTGCAAGGAGATCCAACCAGTCCATCCTAGGGGAGATCAGTCCTGGGTGTTCACTGGAAGGACTGATGTTGAAGCTGAAACTCCAATACTTTAGCCACCTGATGCGAAGAGCAGACTCATTAGAAAAAATCCTGATGCTGGGAAAGATTGAGGGCGGGAGGAGAAGGGGACGACAGAGGATGAGATGGTTGGATGGCATCATGGACTCAATGGACATGGGTTTGGGTGGACTCCGGGATTTGGTGATGGACAGGGAGGCCTGGTGTGCTATGGTTCCTGGGGTCATAAAGAGTCAGACAAGTAACAGGATGATAGGCAAATTTAGACTTTAGATGCAAAGTCCAGTGTTCTCCCTACTCAACTTTTTTAGGAAACCTGAACATCCACATTTCCCTTCTTTAACTGTAAAACACCATCATAGAATTAATATGTAACAATGTTGAATAATCATTTAGATTCTATGAATCATACTAACATTGACAAGAAGCTTATTGGTCTATAAAATGGGCATCTAAAACTCCCATACTTATTTGTTTTAATCCCCCTAAGGTCTGCATCCTAGACACAAGAAAATTAGGAAAGCTTGTACCAGGTCAGATTTGAAATCAGGAGCCCAGTCCAGTCAAAGCTTTTCCTATAACTTGATCACAAACCATTCACTGCCTTCATGGTACAACAATCTTGTATTTCTTTGGTCCAGAAAAGTATGAATAAGCCCTTTATAAGAAAACTGATTTCAAGGAAGTTGGCCTTGTGGTTCTTAACAGTTAATATTAGTATCTCACATTATTTAATTTAGCTATTATGTAAAAAACTGACATAGCTGATGATTCAGCACAGAAGCCTATATACTCACAACTGAATCTTTTTCAGAAGTAATCTGTTTCTTGCTGCTCTCCGGAAACATTTTCCTCAACCACTGTCTATGCTGTCAAAATCCCCTTAGAGCTAGGGAAGATCAGTTCCTAGAATCCTGCAGGTCTTGATGGCAGAACTTAAATTACAAGAGGGAATCTAGACGACTTCAGTTAACATTTATTGAACACTTACTATGTCAAAGATAACGTACTACCTATTAACAAGTATAAGGTGAGGCCTAGTGTTATTTGGTTGATAGTTGTAGAAACCACAGCGTGGAACAAGTAAGTAGCTTTTCTAAAAGTCACACAGCTAGGATGCTGGGGCTTGAGCTTCATTGTTACATTAGGCCACTTCCTAACATTTTTCATGCTTGGTATAACATCCGT